AGTATTTTTTTAAAAGCCTGAGCTGATATTACTTTTTTTAATATTATCAATTTTCATTACAACTTGTTGCCTCGGCCATTTTCAATTCACAATTTATTTTTTCTGAAAATTGTCAGGCTTTCGAAATAAAGAATTCTTGAAGACAAAAATTAGGTGAAGGTAAAGAATTTTGCATTCCTAACTTTTTTTACTCGAAAAAAATTGCTTTCATCACTTTTGTAAACTTTTTTAATTTCGATTATTTCCATATTTAACTGAGATTCATTCGTTATTATTCCTTTGTTTCTTGTAATACAAATTCTTCTGTATTACTTAAGATTTTCTTAGATTTTTGCGATAGTATTTAGAAGTTAACCCTTTGAGATAAATTTCATCTTGAGAGTATGAAGGATTGAGAGACTCGTTTGAGTTTTTCACTAAATTCATCGTTGCAAGTGATATACAGAATCAAGGTTGATCGAAAGGTCATTCTCACTGCACTTGAGAATAGTAGTATCTCAAAGAACACAAAAAATTAAGGTGACTAGGGAATATAAGTTAGAAAATAGCATTATTATGATTTTTAATCACAAAAGTATTTGAAAATGGGCAAATTATTAACCTTTCTGTTGCAATCACATTTTTAATCAAAATTTTCTTGCCAGTCAAAAAGCACCTTTAAAACGAGTCACTCTGCTCTTTAGACAAATTACACTTCACTTACTGCAATTGCGTTTGGTCAGAGATGATTGTTTAAAGGCTTTAGCACTGCAACAGATTGCCATTTTATGGAGCGGAATTTTGCGTAATTTTGCTATCATTTCAGTTCCTTAACTTTTAAAGAAAAGGAATGCTGTGTTGGATTCTGCAAGGCATTTTGTTTCTGCATTTTCTGCATTCAACTGCAGTTACTCCCTTGAGAGTATTTGTTTCGGCAATTTTATCTCGCGATCGCTACATTATTTTTTTTTACTACGACATGGTTTTATTACTCGTGCATAATTGATTTTATTAAATCTAACAATTAGTCAATTTTACAAATTCCGTTTATTTTCTGCAAGATATCACCACAGTTAAAACGAAGCGTTTAGTATGCAGGCACTTTTTAAAATATATTTAAATAAATTTTCAAAATTTGATAACAGAATGCAAGAAAAGCTTCTACAAAGTCTTCAAATTCAGTATGCAAAAGTCACTGTATTTTGTGCAAAATTTGTTATTGAAAGTAATGTTCTTGCTTCCCTCATCTAAAATAAAACTTTAGCTGTTTAAAATTTTTTTAAAGAAAACTAAACCTAATTTTGAAATCCCATAAGGTACCAATAACGAGTCCTCAAAATTCTTTTTAATTCCTTAAGGCATTAATGACGGATCTCTTCTCCAAAAATTTTGCATTTCTTGTAATAACATTTTGCTAAAAAACATCTCCACACTCCATTATTTATTCACTTTCAATCTTCATTAACAGAATTTGAGTTTTTATCATGAAATGAAATTTTTGTGAATCAGAAAGAAAATTTTCCGATTCACAAAAAGGCTTGGCTGTATTTTACGAAATTTATATTACAATTTTATTGCCGATGAAAGTTCGTCAAATTTTGCGTTAATTTTTGCTAACGCTTAAAATACAAATCAATTTAGCAAGATATTTCTTAGTGTAATAATAAGCAATGTAAATGAGTTGCTCTCCATGCATAGAATGAAAATGAATTTTTAGTCATTTTAAGGAATCTTAACTATCAATTCAATAAACTTTTTATGGCGTTTAAATAAATAAAAGTCCTGAAATTCCAATATTTTTTTGGTTTGCAAGGTTAGTCAAAGCAATAGTATTGTCGTGGAAGCAAACAGTGTCTTCCAAATTTCCACTTCTATCTATCTCTCACTTCAGCAAGCAATTTTTCATAAAAATTTCTTTGTAAAACACAAAAACTGAAGAAAAGGACGAAAAAAAGGATTGCAAATATTGGCAGTGGTCATTGACATGAATGAAAATGGAAATCATTTTGGAGGCGAATGAAATGGTGGTAATACGCTGAATAAACGTTTAAAGTAATCTTATCAGTATATTCTCGTAAAAGTTCGATTCTGGAACACTAAAGTATGATCTCATTGAGAGTTATTCAAGGTAAGTTATCGTTTCTAAAAATGGGCGTACCTTTTTACTAAGCTTGAGGGATGAACTGAAACTTGATAATGACTAAATTTTGCCAAGATCTGATAAAAAATTGCTCATAAAAATATTGTATAATAACACTTTAAAAATAAATAAGAGAGTTTATTAAGATAATAACTTCATCGGTATCAAAGATATGGCTCTAAAACTGCAAGATTCTGCACGGTTTAAGTCGAACTCCTGGAATGAATTCGAGCAGGAATTCAATCTTCACTTAACTCTAATACAAAATCATTTGCTCTTTCTTTAGTAAAATTTTGCCAACTTTTTCTGTAGGTAAGAATTTGTAAGTAAAAGATAAATGAGAGAAAATTTGTGTCAACTTTACTTTGTAAAATATTATTCTTTGAGAAAGTAATTTTTATCTTTTTATCAGTTTAGTGTGATAAATGAGTCAATAATTTGATGAGTTTAGTGTGATAATCAGTCAACAATTTCTTCTACAAAACAAAAATAATGAAATCATTCATTTTTTCATTACTCGTCCACCTATAAACAACCTCCAGCAGTGTAATGTGCCAGGCAAAGTTAACTTTGCGGCCATACTTGGACGCTGACTTTTCTCTCTTCTGGAATTGGTATCATATTTGTCATTGTGATTTTTTATGCGCAAACGTTGCTTTATATATCAATAAATCAGTGCAAATAAGACTTCCGAGTCAGTCCCGTCACTAAAAGATTTATCTCTCACTCGACGGTCTGGCAGCTTTCTTATTGTGTCACCTTTCTCGTGAACTTTCTCGTGACCTTTCAGAACCACTTTTGCAAATTCCCTGGTTATTTCTCTTGTCACTTTTCTGGTTAATTACCTCAAAATTTTACTCTCAAATTCTTTCGTATCTGTCCTTGTGGCACATTTTGGAACCTTCCGTCTAAAACTCCTTTGTGATCTCCCTTCTAACCTTTTTTGTGACCTTTTCCTTCGATTACTTTTATGACCTCGGAAAGATTGCAAAAATTCGTTTTGTTTGGATAGGAAACAAAACTTGACGTAGTTCTAAAAAATTTCAAAAACTGAATTTGTCTGTTTTTATTTCATGGAACAATTTAAATATAGTAAAACTAATCCATGTTACATTTATTGTGCATATCCTTCACCTTTAAATTATCGTCTTGAAAAAAAAAATTATGGAAAAATTTCCAAAATACATATTCACCTCATTAATCTTGATTGTTATCGTAAGTTATGCATATTTATTTGACTCAGGACTGTTCAAAAGCTTGGTCAATAATTGAATTTAAAATGTCACATTTTTTAGATTTTGAATTTTCATGCTGTTTCTATCTTTGTTCCATTTATTCATAAGCACACGCCTTAAAAAATGACATTCGCTGCCATTTATTGTTTTTGAGATTGGAGTTCTTGGAAGGATATTGCTTACAAAAATCCAAATACTATTTGCAAATTTTTTTCTGGATCAAAAAACTGAATTTATAATCAGTTCTATTAATCGGTATTAATACAGCTAGCTTATCTCCTTAAAAACTAATAAATTTGCAATGGCATAGATTGCACTTAAACGTTGTTATCATTCCAGTAATGTAGGAAATTTGTGCCGATTGTAATCAAAAGTCTGTATGGCCATCAATATGAACGATTTTTTTTTAACTTGTCGATGTCACAAAATTGTCGTTATAATCGTTTATAATTTATTTAACTTGTATCAAATAGGGAATCAGGGCTGTCCATCATTCAGTTATCATTTTAATCAGTATTCAATGAAAGTATTTCAAAAATTATAGCTAAGAATGGCTGTTTGAACAACAAAATATGATATTTGTTACTAAAACTTATTCGCGCTACCAAATGTTAACAACCTTTCTCAATTGTGATTTATTTTACTTTCCAAATACTGCAATTCTTCTTGTCAAATTCGAATCTTTAATGCTTGTAAAAGTTTATTCGCTTAAATGCATTTACATTTGCGCAGAAGAATGAGGTTAAGTAATGAAATGAGAAGAGAGGGAAACAGTGAAAAGGAAGAAGATATCATATATTTTTTTCTGTCCTTTCCAATATAGTTGATGAGTTTCGAGAAGGTTAGTGAATTGACTTTAAGTAAAACTTGACCTATAATTATAACAAAAAGCAAAAAAGCAAAGTTCGGCTAGTGGACTTTTCGGAATAATATAAAATTAAGGAATAACAAATAAAGGCAGTAACTGCATAGTTGTGATTTACTAACATGATTTGTCAAGTATTGCGTTTTTTGAATTTTTAGAAAAATGACCTATAATCCTTGAAAATTTTAAGATATTTTTCGCGTTTTTCCAATTGATATTTCAGTTTCCAACTCTTGATTGATCAAAATTTTTAAATTGTCATTGCGTTGTTCAGAATTTTATATCATTTTTTGAGATAAATATTATTTAAAATTTTTCAAGTATTAAGGCGGTTCCACATGGAGTTTATATATTCAACACAATTTGATCCCTTTTCGTCCGAAAGCTTATGCATTAATTGTCTATCAGTTATCTATCAGAAGCATAATTTTTAATTTATGATCAAATTAGTAGTAAATCTAAATAAAACTTAAAAATTAGTCCTTAAAATAAAGTGTTATAGCAATACGTGAGTAACGTAAATTTACGTTTGGTCGTAGTCACATTGATTTAACTTATGTTACTTTTATTAAACCAAAGTTTACGCTCCTGCTACAAACATTACTTTGCTGCTTATGTATTATATTAATGATCAGTTGTTACTAAACATTGCGTGAGCAAAAAGCATGCACACACATTTGGTTTGTGTCTATCAAATGGTCACATAATTGATTTCAGAAACTGCAGGCAAGCATAAAGAATCAAAGAGGTGATTAGTACCATTTTTGACGTCTTCGCAAAAATGCTGGATAAACGGACGTTTCTGCTATTTTTTGTCTTGCATTTCGGCATTATGCTGCGTCCCCTTGCAGCGGTCACCAAAAGTTTTGTGAATTCATCAATGCCTGATATGAGACCAACTTTTGTTGTGAACTTTGACACTGGGACAGTAATTTGTCAACATTCCACAAAGTCAGACGATTTACATTTGCATAAAATCTCAATTTTATGTGATGGTAAGCCTGACTGCTACAGTAATCCAGCAATGCACGATGAAAGCTTTCCATACTGTGGTATCGTATTTCGTTTTCAATACATTATTGCTATTAGTATGATCTAATTTTTGTTGAATAATTAATAAAAATTTAATGAGGAATTTTAGTGTAAATTCTAAAAAAATTGCACGGCACTCAATTTTCTTCAAATTACTATGGTTTTACCATAATTCTGTAACTATATTCAGATTGATTATAAAATTTGATCTGACTTTAAATATCTTTAAGAGTCGAATTCTTTGTCAAAACCTAAAATTCGTTACATTATAATATTTGATTAGCCCATTTTTAATGATTTTAAGTTACATTTAGTGTTTTTTTCAAGCAAATGTAAAGTAATGATACTTTATCGATAGTAATATCTTTAAATATATCAAATGCAATATTTTTAAAAAATCAAGCTTTTGCCTCTAAAATTATTTTTCAACATAGTCTGCTACACATGCATATTTTTAGTATACAAAATATATTCATTTTTACAATCAAATTAATTGTTTCAAAGTTAAAATAGGAAAAATAACCTTTTAATGTTCAAATTTTCAGCTGCAAACTTTGTTACAAAATTATTTTGTGACAATAACTTCAGACTTTATACATGAACACATTACTCACTCACTGATTGGTGGTGCAGTTTGAATCACTTCCAATACTCCTAATTATTCAAATGTTAACACTTCTTTTGAAATGCCTAAATTTTTGACAATTAATAATCATCCATAAGTGAGAATCTGTTTTTGTTTGTTTAAATTTTAACATTGAACTCATTTCTTAGCTTATACTGCGAATGTTTTTCTAGGTCACTTTAAATATTATTTGTAAAGTTTACAGTTTGTCTCAGATTAATAATCGTTCATCGAATCAAATTTGTTTTTTACGCTAAAAATTGTTTTTGATTTTGAGCATTAACGAGCTAAAAAACTTTTATCTTAATTTGGTCTTGACCGAATTCAATGCCAATGACCTCATTACATTTTAGTTCTCATTGGAGTTTCTCTTTTGATCTATTTGGACAAATAAGTGTTTGAAGGTGAAGAAAGAAATCAAAAAGATTTGATTATTTACCATATTTTTTGGATTATGCCCCTATAATGTTTTAAAAATACATTGCATTATCAGTTAATTTTAATCAAAAAAAATAATATTTTTACTTTCTTCTCAGTCATTCAGTCTTAAACAATGAAGGCTTTGTAAAAACCAAATTTAATCTGTTAAAAATATTTGTAATAAAAGACTGAACAATTTTCGAGATCACATTTATTTCGGAATTCAAAAATGAATTGTAAAATATGAAACTATATTTTAAATAATGAAAATTAGTCATTTAAAAAACTTGCAATCTTTGTAGGTGGAAATTTGAGCACTTAATTATCATTAAAACATCAAACAAAAGCTGACATTCAAAAATTGTAATTCTGATTAAAAGTTTAGAAACTTATGATTTTTGGTATATGACTGCTGAAACTGCATATGCATTTGCAAAGTGTCAGTTATTTTTGAATTCAAAAATATACCAGTGCGATAGAATATTTTTTTTGAAATATAGTGGATTCGAGCATTCAGTATTTCAGGTAGTCGATGTAATTCAACGTGCAATGAACGTGGTGCTTGTTTATTCGATGGCACTCAAGGGCAGTGTTACTGTAATGCCGGCTATTACGGGCCTCACTGCGAACTCGATGGTTATTTTGCAATCAAAATATAATTTTGAAAGACTATAAAATACATTAGTAAAGATGATATTATTCAAATAACATTCATTCAAATTAATTTATGACTCAAAGTGTGTTCATGTTAACATTATATATTAGGTGCAAAATGAATATATGCGAATCACTGAAGGTAATTAGCGTGAAAGGCGTTTAAGCATTAATTTGTTACGATTAAAGACAAGAAAATAATCAGCCTTTTGTCAACAAATCTAACTTCAATTATTTCTTCTTTTCTTTGTTTCAGATAACAACGAATGTAGTGATAAGCCTTGTCATTGGTTAGCACATTGTCAGAATACTTACGGTTCATATTCTTGCACATGTTTCCCGGGATTTCATGGTGATGGTCATCGATGTACTGGTTAGTAATTATACAGTATTATATAGCTTACAGCATATCCACTTCAGTTCATACTTAATTTCAATTTTATTTTCATGACTTTAAGACAGCTATGATTAGAACGAAGTCGCAGTAAATTTCTATCAGATCAATGTCACTATTATCATAACTACAAGTTTTTTGTCATCATAAAAAGTGTGATTAATTTTACCTTTTTGTGCAGTTTACAAGCATTTTGATTACCTCATTTTAAATGCTTTGTGAAGCCAGAATCAAATGATTGGAAAACTTTTGAAAGTATGTTAAATAGTTAAAAAATTTTTGCAAAGTATCACATTAAAGTAGTGCGTGCAAATTAATTTATATTTTGCTTCTTAATAACGTAACTGATTGAATTTTTACATTAATTTGTATTCACTTGTTTGAACTCTCAAACTAATAATATTGAATTACATCAATAAGGCTCAAAATACTTAAAGTATATGCTGATCAAGTCAGTGCAATTACTTTTGTTCGCAGTTGCTAGGAAGCTCTTAAGCTTTGAAATTTTGGCTTTCATAACTGAGACTTAAAAACTACTTGTAAATTATTCGTAAACTTCATGCACACTAATCAAGTATTAATAGTAATCATGACACGGATTATTTTTTTGAATTATTTGACTGTACTAAATAGAAATGAATTCCGATTATATACTTTTGATTTTACTTTTAAATGAGCAAACTTAAATTTCAACTTTTAATTCCCAAAATTATTTTAGTAGTTCGGAACTGAAAAAGTCTCATTTTATTCATTGATGAAATTAATCCAAAATTTCATTTCGATTAGTTGGACTTTGGTAGTTTCCAAGACTTTTTTGTTGCCTTCAATAGGCATAACGAAAAGTAATGATTAAGTAACATAAGTTGCAATAATTTAAGTAGAAATGAGATTTCAATTCTGTAGGAGAGAGCACTGGAATATACTGGTCAGTTGCTTTGCCTGATATGAGCTGCAGTGAAAAATACCTTCCTGACTAGGCTAGAGCAGAAAGCATGTTTTCAAAACTGATACAGATTATTTCTCCTATTATTATTTTAATCAGTGCTAAAAGCACACAAAATGATCATTAAATTGATGAGACTGAAAACATTGATGCGCTGATACTACTTTTGAGTAGTTGTGATTTACATATGAGCTAAATAAGCTGCTCTCACAAGAATATCATTAAAAGGTTGCCTGAAACATTTAGTATCATTACTTTTATGATTATTTTTACTATTACTGTAAGCTAAATGCCTTGTGGACAAAGGAAAATCACAAATTATCATACTTAATAGCTGAGGCTAATCAATTATAAGGAATTTTAAGAGTTTACGGAAAAATGGTTTATTTTTTAAATTTGACGTAATTTTATTGGAAAGAAACAAAAATCATAAATCCAACAAATACTTTACAGAACAGCTTAAAGATCCTAAGATGCTTTACCATTTCATTCAATATTTACCAGGAACTAAGCGCAAAATTTCTGCTGACCAAGAATGTTTATGCTTTTATCTTATAAGAAATGCTTTGCAAGTAGTAGCCTGCTAACAAACGAGAGCTTTCTCATCACTTCTAAGAATAACTTAATTCTTCAGGTTTACTGTCGTTATTTTATTTTATCATAAAATTTTATTTAAACGAAATATTTGAAAAACAGATGCGAAAGTGGAATTCAGAAAGTAATTAACTAATTGCCGAAATACAAAGTAAACTAGTATGGACCTCAAAAACTATAAATAACAGAAGTAAATGCTCATGAATTAAAAATATTAAAGTGACCACAATCAAAATAAGAATATTTAGATATCAATGAATGTGAAACAGGAATAGCACGATGTCCGCAATATTCAACATGTGTTAATTTGCCTGGAACATACTTCTGCAATTGCACCGAGGGATTTCAACCTTTGGGTATACCTGTTGAACGATGTGCAGGTTAACAAAATTAATCATTTGAGAAAAGATGTTGTTGCTATAAGTGATTCCAAGCAATTTAGTTGCTTACTAGAGTTAAAAATCAGAATTTCCAAAAAAACGCAACTTTTTCTCTGATTTAATCACATAAAACAACAATTTGTGATGTGCACGTTGAGAAAATGAGCGTTCCAGTACGTGCTAACTTTTTGCTTCAATTTATGAAAAATAAGTTTTTGTCAGTCAAAGTTTCCAATGTAACCTATTCTTTCCTGCATAGATGTGATTAAATTTTTCTTCTTCAAGAGTAAAGTATCAAAGCCAATTTAAACTTACTTTACTTGCAATTAATTTGATTAACCCTTTGTCTTTTCGAATGATGCAAGCAAAACACTCAGTTTTGCAGATATTGATGAGTGTGCGCAAGATTTGCATAATTGTGGAGCAAATTTGAAATGTCAAAATGAGGTAAAATCCTGTTGTTATTAACTTATATTGAAAACAAGTATGAATAACTAAAGCAATTATGCAAGGTACAAAGATGGAAACTATCTTACTGTCTACGTAACTGCTTGACAATGAAAGGAAAGGATTTAGATATCAGTGAAATACTGATGAATAACTAATTACTGAAATACAAAGTAAACTAGTACGGACTTCAAAAACTATCCCGCTTTTTCAATGCAAAAGCACTATTGATTGTGTGAAAATCTTAAATTAGTCGATGTTAATTAGAACAAAATGAGATTTTTGGTAGTATAATATTTTCTAACTGTTTATGACAACAACCTTTAACAGCTTTTGTATTCATAGATTGGTAGCTTCAAATGCGTTGAAAAGTGCAACGTTGGCTATCGGTTAATTAATGATACGTGTGTTGACATAGATGAATGTATCGAAAAGTCCTCAGACTGTGATAAAAGGGCTGCTTGCTTGAATACTATTGGAAGCTTTGAATGCAGCTGTGAAAATGGCTTCACCGGTGATGGGAAACATTGCACACGTTAGACTTTTCTCACTATTCGATCGGAACTTGCTTTAATTAATTAAAAGCACACACTTGATGACGAAAATATCAGTTTAAATTATGAAAAAATTACAGGCTCACGTCTCAACTTCAGATTTCGTACTAAAAGTCAGAATAAAACTATAATTTCAGCGTTGAATGATTGCAGCCAACAGGAAGGAATCTGTGATCGACATGCTTTTTGCATTGGTAGCTTACGAATATGCATTTGTCAATCGGGATATTACGGTGATGGATTGAGTTGTTATGGTATGTCACTAGATCTTGCAGTCATTTCAATTTTGAAACAAAACAACTAATTTCCACACTTTACTAACATTTTCTATTAAAGTCGGCAACTGCTGAGATTTATCTCATACGTGCCAGAACCCACCCTATTATTGTACGCAATAAATAATTTCCATTACTGATTGCAGTCTATTTATAATATTAATTAAAAATAATAAAGTTGCTGAAATGGCAACTTTCCATCATGCACGAGTCAAAAACACCTCAGAATTATTGCAGAAAAATTTCTGTTTAGCATTTTGTTTTTATTGCAAACTTCAAAGCATTTTCCATTTTGTTGTCTGCTGCGACTAATACGATTTGCTGCATCCTGAAATTCAACACCAAAATAAAAGTGAACCTTCTAGCTTCATATTCATCTCTTCATACCTTTCAGATCAGACTAAGTACTTGAAATCTGTTATTTGTAGATGTAAATGAGTGTACAGGAAACCAGAATCCTTGTGAGGGTCACTCTGGTAGTTCGCGTTGTGTAAATATCGACGGAGGTTATATTTGTTGTGAAGATGACTTAGATGATGAACACTGCATTCGAGGTCACAATTTAATTTCAATTAGATCGATTTCAAAAAATAATCAATTTTTCAACCATTACTTGGTGCCACATCAGAGTAATCAAAAATTTACTGATAAGAAACTATTTACATAAACATGTTATCAGAATTTGCATGAAATCAAAATACTTTATTGATCGAATATTTTTACAGCTATCAGTTAGTGACCAAAAAGTTTCTGTAAGATTTTTGTGAATTTTAGATAAAGGCGCATTTTGTTCTGGGGGCTGTGGACTGCATGCCATATGTTACAACGAAACATGCCAGTGTATACAAGGATTTCAAGGAGATCCGAAAATTAAATGTTCAGGTACAAAATATATTTTAAAAAACTTGAATGTGAAGAAGTTTGCGGAAGCTTTAATAATATAGCAAATGCACACCAAATTAAACCCACAAAAGTCTGTTCAAATTTTGCGTACTCAAAATATTCATCTTTTTTTACAAGTGTTTTTAGGTTTCTGCTTATTCAAAATCACAAAATACTTCCAATTTACGCTTGATAAAAACAGATTTACTCACTGTTTACAATAAATAAATATTTTAAGTAAGCAAAATGTGTCTGCTTGAAAATAACACTTATAAGAGATAGCTTTTAAGCCTAAGCCATAGTTATTGCTAATGCGGACGTCTCAAGACGAAATGCATATAATACTAGAAACAGTTCTAATTTCGGTCGAAACAATTTCACAAAAATGAAAAAATATTATACCAAGATTTTATAAAGAAACATCAAAAATCAGAAATCGAATGCAACATTTTGATTTGAATTTTTTTGTCCATTTGGTTTTACTTCAACTGAAAAAGCATTATTCGCTGAATATGTCAACAAAAAGTATTAAAAAAGTAATCAGGCGAAAAAGAAATTGTGCTTATAAACTCGCTTTTCATGAATTCAAGCAAAATGAGCAAAAATGAAAGTGCGCAAATTGCAGATGTCAATGAATGCGAAAATGATAAGCAATGTCCAGGGGTTGGTGAATGGTGTGTTAACTTAGTCGGTGGCTTTATTTGCTGCAACCCAAATTCCAATAAACCTGAATGTCTCGCACATATTGGAAAACATGTTTCGTTGGAGAGCAATAAATTTAATACATCACAAGGTGAACGCCATTTTCAATGCATGATTCCATATTTATTACATATACTGTAGACATACACGCTTCACTTGAGATGCACATGAAATCTACGAACATCACCATTTATGCAGAAAGTCATTTTTGTCAACAATATATTTATTACTGTCGCAAAATGCACTAAACAACCTAAACAAAACTTAAAATTACTTGGCAAATTCTTGCTTGCTCAAAAAAAACTGAATTGTGGATTTAAGTTAAAGGCTTTCGGCATACTTTCTCATCTGGTAGTGTTGAGCAAAAAGCAACAAGTGGAGTTGTGGTCATCGACAAGCATATCTCGTCATCATCAACAAAACAAGTTGGAATTGCGTGTCATTATGGTTGTCCATCAGATTCTTACTGTGACAATGGCATTTGTCGGTGCAACGATGGTTTTGTAGGAAATACTTTTGATGGCTGCGCCGGTAAAATTACTCCTCTTGTTATCAATAATTAATTTTGAAATATTGTTTGAAAAATAGAAAAATTTTTAGCATTCATAATAAGTATTTTAATTTGTAGATCTTATTCTTTTCTAACACTAGCAGCTGATATTGCGCAGTTTCATTTGCTATATGTTCCCTTACTTATAGGCTTATAAATGTATTCCGGAATATTCTTTTCACATAGTATAGGCATACCACTTTGGAATGCGTACTCATGTATTCAGATTTCATTAAAATTACCTCTTACTCGTCTGATTTCAAATCGACGTGATCCGAATGTTGTAGATTCTCTTGAAAACTGAAGATTTTTTCATTGAATTATTTACTCTCTAGCAAAAAATTCGCATTGGAAGCATTTACTGATTAGCATTTTACTGGCAGAAAATATTTCTGCATATTAAACTTGAAAATGACTGTCCATTTTATGAGAGGAAGAAAATAAAAGCTTGCTCAAAATAAATGATGTAGATGTATGTTGCAGATATCAACGAATGTGACCTTGGCTTCTGTAATTACTCAGACTCATTATGCTTGAATTTGCCCGGATCATATATGTGTTGTACTATAAATTCAACATTACCAAATTGTAATGGCTTAGAAGTCATCAGTTATCAGGCAATGCGTAATCGAGGACTGAAAAATTATACTGCAACTTTCCAATTAGGAAATCACATTCTTCCATTTGATGGCAAAATACTTCAAAATGGTAATTCAAGAAATACCAGTGCTTCAAGAACTACGGTTATTTCTACTGATATTGGAACCTTGAAAAATTCCGAGCTTTGGAAAAAAACTGAAGGCTTCAGTTTTGGAAAAGAAACAAATGCTAATTTTGCCGATATCAAGTACCTGTCTAATACGTCACCTTTGGATACGTCAAAGAGTGATAGACAAGGAGGTAACTGGAAAATTGAAACTGTTGATGAGTGGCGAAATTTTTCAGGACATTCACTAATTATTGGACATGGCCATATTGGGAGCCAAAAATGGGGTGTGAGGAGTGACAAGTACGAAAAAATAATAGACAGCGGTACGGTAGTACATTTGTGATAATTTATGATAAACTTTTAATTATGTAAGAAATGGCAATGCATTATAATTCGAAACTTATTAAAGTTCTAGTATTGTGCTCACTCACCAATACTGCGTATAATTGCGTATATTGCATTTTCTCCGCATATAATGATTGTGAATCTAATTTAGTTCAATAAATATTCAGTAATGGCAAAAAATTCCAAAAGTATTTGCTATTATGACACTGAAGAGTGAATAATGTTTCAGAGGCACGTGGAAACCAAACAAGTCATGAAAAGAATCATTCTGCATCTGCAGCTGGCTCAGTAACTAGAGGATCAAAAAAAGAAATTGAAGATTCTGATGAAGGCGTTGAGGGCAGCGGAGAAGAGATGGGAGCAGTTACTCAATCATCTTTCAAAGAGAACAATAATTTACAACCGAACACATCTGTTGAAACAGGCATGACTTCGGTTGTAAATAGTACTAAAATATTTGCTGAAGTACTTCAAATAGCAGAACACACTGAGAAACCTGAATTTGCTATTGTACACTCTTCAAAAGAACCATCACATCAAGTAACAATTCCTAACATAACGTTTTTTAAAACTATAACTTTGACTGATGCGGTATTAACGCCATCCACATCCCAGGAATCTGAATTAGTGTCAGATCAGTACAGCAGTACTCAAATATATGCTAGCAAATTTATTCCTTCCGAATCCATCACTCAAGGTAGTCGTAATGAATATATTTCTGAACGTCAAACAACAACAGAAGCCAGTATGATAGAAAATACAAATTGGACCGATTATTTTACGCATTTTGAAGGCATAACAACGTCAGCAAATGCATCAGGCACCCATGAAACTGTTTCAACCACATATAATATAGAAGCTGAATTAAGAAAGAACATAACTAGCGAAGGAAGTCATATTACCTCAACCACTGCTGCTGAAACTCAAACGACTTCATCGTCAATTTCAAAAACAACATTACTGCTTTCAAGAGCTGGAAAACAAGAAGACACTGCTCAAACTGTTAGAGCAGCAACTTTTGCAGCTACTGATGCATTTATAACGAGTCCAATCAAGGAACCTTATTCTAATGGATCCACGCGACATCCAAATGATTACAGTCTTGAAAAATCTAGCACAGTCTCACAAAGTAATAGGCAGATAGGTATTGAAACCATGGCGTTTGAAAATCATTCAAAAAGCATTCAATATATTCAAACGTCTGGAAGCACTGAAAGAATTGCATCTTTCCCAGGTACTTCAACATCAGGATTAGGAGAAACAAAACAAACAGAGGCAAGCTTTATTGAGCAGTTAGGAAAAACAACGCGAATGAAATCTGAAATAATTTCTCCAGAGAACCTTTCACAACAAACGACGAAAATTGAAATTTTTTCTTCAGAAATGAATTTCAGTACAGATAAAAACAGCCCGAAATTTGTAATGGCTAAAGCATCTACGCCAACTGCTGAAGACTTAACATCTAGTCATTACAGGGAAGCAAGCTATAAACCAGAAAGTATCACACCAATGGATTCCATTAGATTTAAAAATGAATCAGGACGTAGTGCAGAGCGTGCAATATCCGGAAGTGCTGAAGCAGAAATAAGCATAACTGGTTCTACTGATGAATCAAAGGCCGCGCAAGAAAGCATGTCAGCGACTAAATTTTCGACATCACCAACACTTATGACTAGTAATATCGAAGTAGAGAGCTTAGGGGAAAAAAGGAATGAACTTGCTGGCAACACTAAGGATGGTTTCACTATGACAGTATCGCACAAGCTCAGTATTTCGGAATTTACTACAAAGTCAACACCTGTTGCGTCGACCACAGAATATGCAGCAGATATTACAGAACATCGTAGTGTTCAGACAAGTGTTCCGCTCGATGCCAGCACAGTAGTTGATGTATCATTATCCTTTGCACCTCCGAAAGAACACAAAAAAGAATTTATAGAAGTCGTTTCCACGAGTGAACCACACATAAATAGCATAAATGACAGTCTAAGAGAAAGTAAATCAAATATTATAAATATGAAAGGAGCAACAGGGCAAAAAGTTTCCAGTTCGGATTCTGACTTAACTTCAAAAAGTACAGTATTTGTTAAAGCAGCAGAAATTCAAGCAAAAAATGAGTTCAACTCAACTTCATACACTGAAGCAGAAACAGAAGGTTCAGAATATGGCATGTCTATAAATTATACAAAAGCATTAACTTCAAAAGTTAATGAAGAAATAGACACAGAAGTCTCGTTTACGAAATTTGGATCTAAAAACTTGGAAGGGTTGGTAATTTTGCCCGCATCAAGTTCGAAAATTTTGATAAAATTATCAACAAATGATACAAGCACTGTTAGGAGTACGGAATCTTCTAAAAATACGGACAGCACTATCAGCAAAGTTCTTCCAACAGAATCCACAAATGAATCAGCATTTACTTCCAGTGCAAATGCAACTAAAATAAGTTGGTCGTCAAGCACCGCTGAAACAAATGCAATAAAATCTACTTCACTTTTAAAATCTGAATCTATCAAAAATAAAAAATCAGAAATCACCTCATCCAACTACTTATCAAGCAATCAAATTCCCCTGACACTAGCACCAGACAAAAAAGAATATGAACTAGGTCTTGAAATAATATACGAAGGCAGAAGTGCAATAAAAAATACTCCAAAATCATTAGTCGATACAAAAATGATAGAATCCAGTACTGAGATAAGTATTGGTAAAGAATCTAGTAATATCCAAAATCCTACGACAGTTTCCGAGAAACCTATTCAGACCATAAGTAGTTCTGAAAATCATTTCATTTCAAAGTATTTTACAAATGGCATAAAGGAACAAACGAGCACTGTTGAATTTACAGTTACTGAAAAAGGCAACACTACTGAAAGTTCGACAAGCTACGCTTCATCAATTTCGAAGAATACAGAATTTGGAATAAATCCGACATTGACTGCTGAACAAACCGAATCAAGCACTCAGAAATTCTACGATAATAATAAATCGAATGTTACTGCGATTGTCGAAAAGCCATCATATGGAATGGCAGAAAAATTTACCCAATCTTCAATGGAACCAATGCAGTTTTCAGAATCTACAGTACACCCAAGCTTTCCTAAACTTGTAACAGAAGTTGCGCTGACAAAATATGATATGCTACTGGTGCCAACTAATAGTACCGATCTTACAAAATTTATAGAAGAATCAACAAAAGGTTTTGATGAAAGAAGATCTGTCTCGTCGAGTACAGAAGCATCTACTGAAATTAAAACTTACACACGAACTTTGGGATATAAATTTCCTACAGTACATCCAATTTCTTCTAGCACAATGACTCCGAATCTCGAAACCTCGGTTATCTCGAAAGTAAAAACCTCTTCAAGTTCTCCAGTCATTACTGAAGATGTAAAAATAACTTCGGAACCACAAAAATATTTGAAAGGGACTTTTGAAACTACTACGAATACATTTGCTTCTTATACTCCTGAAACATTATTGAAGGCTTCGACGACTGAAACAGCATTGATGAATCGAAGTATTGCTTCTCAAACTTTTGAAAGTTCTCAAGACTGGTTGCTAAAATCATCACAAAGCAGTTTGGAAACAACATCCGTTCCTTCTGGAACTAACACACAGTCGAATACAATTAAGTGGACAATGATTATTGAGAAAGAACATACTTTGGAATCTAGCACAAACGCTAGTTTTGTCTCAGAAACTGGAACTCAGTTATCTTCACTAAGTACCGATTTCAGAAAAGTTTCAACTGAGGCGATGAAATCAACTGGATCAACTGCAAATCTAGAAGAGCCACAAACTAAAAAAACATCTGAATCACCTACCGATTCAAACAGGACTTCAACAGAAGTAGCTGCACCATCCACATTATCCAGTAGCTTAGATAAGGCTTCAACGAGAATAGTGGAAGCAACTACGTATTCTACAGAATCAACACTATCATCAAAATCAACTGCTGGTTCACTGATAGAAATGACTAAATCAAATGAATTATTTACTAGTTCCAAAAAATTTTCTACAGAAGTAACAAAATTATCTGGATTATATGTTAGCTCGACAGAAATTTCTCAAGAAAAAAGTGAATTATCTATTGGTTCAAAAAAAGCTTCCAAAGAAATATCATCAGGATCCATCATTACTTCAACTAGAGAGATATCACAACCATTTGTATCGACTATAAGTTCAGAAAAGGCTTCGAAAGAAGTAACAAAACTATTTAAATCAACATCGGAAAAAACGAAGGCAGATGTAGCAGGATCGAAATTAACTACAACAAATGTAAACGGATCATATCTATTATCATCAGCCTTAGAAAAAGATAAGATAAAGACAAATGTATCAAAATCAACGAGACCTAATGTTGATTCAGAAGCAGAAATATCAAGATTATCTATACCAATTGTTAAAGAAGAAGAACTTTCAACAAAAGTGTTTGAACGGAAAAAGATACAAACATCATCTGAATTGACTACAGATTCTGAAGAGGCTTCAACAAAAGTAGAACAACTAACGACTGAATCTAGCACCATGTTTGACAATATGCAACTAGTCACAAACAATGAACAAGAATCTCAAAAGGTATTAGAGAAAAGCAAGGTTGACAATTCCATGAAAACAACGCAACAGGTAACCTATTTCACTGGTTCATTCTGCTAATGATGATTATATGAAAATTTATCTTCTTTGATGTAAAAAGCATTGATATTAGTTCAGAAATTCTCCACGATTGATATCTTGACAATTCAAATCATCCAAAATAGCTTTTGTGATTGTTAGATTAAAGCAAATTAAGCTATTTCAGGACACTGTAAGTTCACGTAATGAAACACTTCCTCAAACTGGAAGTTCCATATCCACATTAGTTACAAAAAAAACAAAAATTATGAAAGTATCAATAAGTCAAGAAAACAACACTCGATTAATGTCTTTGAAATGCCGTAGTAAGGATGATTGCGGTGCCGATGCATATTGTGAACGACGATCAGGGGTATGTCGTTGCCATCCAGGATTTCATGGTGAACCACCGATAATTCCATGCATTGGTAACTATTTCTTTACTTGTAGATTATTTGTTACTTTTGATAGTAGTCAAAGCATGGAACAATAACAATATGCTAAAATCTTTTCAAATTATTTTTTGATTCATGTTCAGATATCGATGAATGTGAGCGACATCTAGATGACTGTCATTCGTCGTCACGATGCTCTAACAAAATTGGTGGTTTCATGTGCTTCTGTGAGACAGGTTATCGAATGTCGAAAGGGCATGTTTGCGTGGACATTAACGAATGCCATGAACGCTTAGGACTACCGTGTGGTCATCACGCAAGCTGTATTAATTTACAAGGTTCTTACCAGTGTCACTGTGACACTGGATATACAGGTAAATGCTTGCTAATAAGTGAACCATTCAAGAAAGTAATGGAGATAATAATTCTGGATCAGTAATTGGATCCATAATTGCAAGCAAATGTAATTTAAATTTTGCCCAAACTTGTTTAGGTGATGGGTACACGTGTATTCCGAGCGAGAAGCGTCACTGTACAAGTGAAGAGGCGATGAAATCCGAGTGCGGTCAAGGTCAGCTATGTTTGGTAAATATGAAGGGTCTTGTCGATTGCGAAATTTGCAAGAAAGGTTTTCTCAAAGTTGGCAAAGGTTGTCAAGACATTAATGAATGTATTCAAGCTGATATTTGTCACGAAAATGCATTCTGCAAAAATCTAATTGGGTCGTATTCATGCCACTGTCAGTTAGGATACAAAGGAGATGGCTTCATTTGCAGCGGTAATACATTTCTGATTCCAATTCTAATCTAACGTCTTAAAATGTAAGCGTTGCTGCAACTCAAATTTCTTCTGTCTACAAAACGATGAGTGGGAAATAATTTTTACACATTTACTATGCAAATTTAATTTAAATTTGTATTTAAAACTTTCTGTACAATCGACACAAGTTTTCGTTATCACCAAGACGTATTATCTGTCGATTCAATGATTTATTTGCATAATTGTATTAGTTCAAAGCTTTTCGTGATTTAAGATTGTCAAATCATATTTGAAATGAATGTTATAGATATTGATGAATGCTTAAATAATCCTTGTCATCCTCAAGCAACGTGTATAAATTATCCTGGCTCATACACTTGTAAATGTCCTGATGGATGGGCCGGTGATGGGTATCATGAATGTATCAATCCATCAGATACTGCTTGTCTGGTAGTTTATTTCCGCCTTCAGCTTAACTTCCTAAAAATTAGCCAAATTTTAATTTTGATTGAAAATTTCTGATATTTTTCAATGCTTGTATTTTAGGATAAATCATCAGTTTGTAATCATATGAATCATACGTCATGTTTATCTCTGAATTTTGGAATTGTAACAACGTCAATATGTGAATGTTCCGCAAATTATCGATTTAATAGCATTAAACATACTTGTGAAGGTAAATGATAAGACCGATATATATATATATATATATATACTGAAGTATAATTTTAGAGTCCTTGTTGATAATTTCACCACCCTTAAAACTTCCTGCACTTAAAACAAATTTCTGGATTTATTGATTTTGTTATTATATATTCTATCAGTTCAAAGCTTTTCATAATTTGAGATTTCTAAATAATAAAAAAAGTCGTAAAAACTTCAATGACCATAGTGTGAAAGGAAAAGTGAAGAATTTAAACTGCCCTTAAATTAATCACTAAATACTGGAATTAATTTTTTTTAATACTGAGGAAAGGTTGACGGTTGGACGCAATTCAAATGCAGCGACGAATTTTTTTTATTCTTTACAGCAGTGCAGTGTAGTTTGAACACTTTTTGCTAATTTAAACATAATTTTAGTTAACAGTGCTAACCAACTGGCTTGCCAGTAATGATATCAATAAGTAATTGATAAATTCTGACAGATATCGATGAATGTGCTGAGAATCGCCACAATTGCGATCCATCGAATTCGATTTGTATAAATACTGATGGTGGCTACTTATGTGAGTGCATCCCTGGTTACGAAGGTACAGGTGGTGTTTGTGTAGGTAAGTTTAACAATTGAGCCAGATGTCTTCAAATGATATTTGTTTGCTAATGTTTAAGATACTAGTACTCTTCATAAATCTGAAATAAAAATATTAATTAAAATATGACGCAATTAACTATAAAAATTAAAGCGGAAAATCATTAATGTAGTGAGCGAAAAATCTAAACAAGATAGAAAAATCAATGATTTTTGAGAGATTCATCGTGAAAATGATTGATAACCCTACAGCAAAGCAAACAATGATGACACCTAAAGCGAAAATTCTTCAGTATAAAGACTACGACTAACTTTAGATGTAAACGAATGTGAACGAGGCATCGCTGGTTGTAGTATATCAGCTCGATGCCAGAATTACTTGGGAAGTGTCGGTTGCAAATGCCCTCCAGGGTTTATTGGTGACGGCATCAAATGTAGCCGTATGTTTCACTTTCATTTTCTTACTCTGTTAGAGTTTATTTTTGAATAAGATAAAAATCTAAAGAAAGTCAATAATTATTCGAATATTTAGCAAATATAAACTTAATTTATCAAATTAATTTAATTTTTTTACGGTCGAGTTGTGCATTTACTTTTTCAGTATTTAAAATAATATATATATTTTATAGCCATTCACTCGTTAAAAAAAGTTACTGCTAGCTGCAGTGATCAGTGGAAGATTATCTGCCAAAGTGTAAACAAAACTTGTCACATCGATGATGAAGACGTACCTCAGTGTGGCTCATGCTTAGCTGGTTATCAGCCGTCCAATGGAAAATGCCTTTGTACGAATTTTGATAATATTTCGTCTTCCCACCAAGTAATACTAAACTAATTACTTTCAAATAAGAATACTTTTTATTGGTAACTTTTTTATTATGCTGACAGGATTGCAAACTAACGCTTTATTAGTATTGTTTTATAGAAAAGTAGATACTTCAAGCTATCACATTTACGTTTTTGATGGATTATATAGTGACTCAATAATTTTTTCAAAAGCTAGCAGTACTGGTATTCATTGCAGCAATACAAGGTTTGGGTAATTGTGTTGATCCACTGTGGAATGATTGTGACATGAATGCTGAATGTATTGACGTACATCCTGGGCGTCACTTTTGTAAGTGTAAAGTGGGTTACATTGGTGATGGACGACGCTGTGATGGTATTTATTGATCTAGTCAAATTTAAAAATATTTTCGATTGCTAAAAATTCAAATTTGGAATTAGGCTAAGTGTCGAAATTTGTACCAGTTTGGTATCCATCGGATATTAATAGATGCAAGAAGATATCAAATACGGATTGCTTATAATTTTACCAAAATCACTTCTGTCATCTGTATGCAATAATACATAAAAAACTAATTTAGATTTCAATTAGATTAAAAGAAGATTTCAGTCTCGAGCAAAAGAAAAAATTGAATTAATTTTGCAATCACACAAGTTTTGTAGCATTTTTTGTATTATCTTTTCTAATTAATATGAAAAATTTGCAGATATAAGAAATAAGCTACTTTTTATTTAAAAAATTATAATTACTATTGACGAAAAATCTTAAAAATGATTAAGGTGTAAACGTATTTTGAAATTAGTTTGTAGTCTTCCAGCAAGATGTGTTTTAATAACAAAACGTGCTAATCTTATTTACTTTAATGATTCCAATGAACTTATAATCAAAGTCTGTAATTATTATCGCTGAATGTTTATGATGAATCAAATTCTGTAGGCCCAAATTGTCATTTGGATGTTTCAATGTGTCACAGTAATGCTCAATGCCAACTTGATGGAACATGCAAATGTAATGAAGGATATGAAGGAGATGGCCTTGACGTCTGCAAATGTTAATTTTTATCACTTATTAATTGTCATTTTTGAAAGCTGGTTGATTTCTGTTAGCATTTACATTAACTTAAAAAAATTAGAACTAATGGAAATTTAATGAAAATTGTCATATTTCTGCATTGAAATTTTATATATATGTTTAATGTTCTCATTTAGTATTGGAAAATGAAAAAGGGCCAAAATATGGTAATACAAATGTTACTGTAGTAACTACAAAAGTTGATCTTGAAGCAAAAAAAAATCAAGTTAACGAATACTCGGGCTTTACTTCTGAATCTAGTCTGTTTGGAATTAAATCATCATCATCAGAATCATTAATCACAGTTAGTGAAATTTTTCCAATTTAATTACAATTAATGAAAGGATATTTTCACTCTTTGTAAATAGTTATAAGAAATTTCAAAAATTGTAACTTATTCATTCGCGAATCAGTAATGTTTATACAATAAAAAGAAAGTAAACACAGAGAACAGACGATAAATATGACGAAAAAGGAACAACAGTATTTGGTGGCACAAATATCGTGACATCTCGGTATCAATCTAATACTGAAAGCGGTAGGATATATTACCCTGGAGATGTTTCAAAAGGAGTATTTGGCGAAGATCTAACTACTTCTGTTTCTATGTCTGCCACAAAAACTCATGCAATCACTGATCACGAAGGCATTTTTGAGGGATCAGGAGAAAGTGATGATAGTAGTGAAGAATCACAACACACTACAGCATTCTCTAACCGGATATCGTACGTTACGGAAATAACAACTTCTGAAACTACTACATTACGTGAAAGTGCAGAAAGAAGTAAAGGTATCTATAGCTCTAGTACTTGGATACATTCAGACACCATCTCTACTCCAACATATTATGGTGAATCAGAAGGAGTTGAACAAAACGTTAGCAGTAAAAAATCGTTTGAAGATACTTTGTTAGTTGTTGAACAGTCATGTACCGCAATGAATCAATCCATTTGTCATGAACTTGCAATTTGCAATGAATCAAGTGGTGAATGTATATGTAAATCAGGCTATCATGGTGATGGATACGCTATTTGCATGTTAGTTAATTTTTAAGACATTTTTGAGATTTGTGAATTTTACGAAATATTAAACTTTCTTGATCAATTTAAATCCAATAATAAATACTTCCAAAACCATGAAAATTTGACGTTAGTTAATTTATTAATTAATTTTGCAGAAAAGATATAGAAGATTGTACGTTAGATTCAACAGTTTGCGATTTAAGGGCAGTGTGTGACGTATCTTCCCATACTTGTCGGTGCAAATTAGGATATGTCGGTAGCGGCATCGTTTGTGCTCCAGATACATTCGTATGTTTGTTTCAGTTCTGTAGAAACGTCCATGTTGCGACTTATTTTCATCAACTACAAAAACTTTACTTTTTAGTCTTAATAGTGCTGAGTTTTTTGAAACTATTATTTTAGGACTGTGTACTAAGACCCAATTTATGTAGCAATTTCGCTAACTGTATTAACCGAAGATGTGTATGCAATCCTGGTTATACAGGTATGTGCATGGTGTTATCCTTAAAACAGTTAGTTTCGTATACATTAGAAATTATTTTATTTTAAGGTATAGCAATAAGCAGCGTTATTTCTACTACTATCGTTATTGTGGATATTTGAGCGAAAATTTGTTTCAGGTGATGGTACTGAATGCGTTACTATTGAACCATCAACTGTAGACTGTAAACAGTGCAATTCCAATGCAAAATGTTTTAATGGCACTTGCATTTGTGATAAGGTAAAATTAAATGATGCATACAATATTTCGATTGGTACAGTGTGTACTTACCATCCAAATATTATAATGGCATGCAAATCAAGTTTATCAGTATTATATGTGGTCAAATTTATATAGCTTTTGTCATGATATTAATATGGTCTAATTTTTTACCTGTGATAATTATCGTGTAGTTTATTGCCTCATATCATGCCATAACTACGGAACTCAATAAATAGCACTCAAAAATAATAAAATCAAAACTTTGGAAAGTCGACGACAGAGTATACTCTGTCTCTTCTTAGCCTTATCTCAACTAGTGTATCTACTTATTTTTTTTAAGAAAATTTTTTATGAATTACTTTATGCATTGTAAATCCGAGCATTAATTAAAATAATTTTAATCATAACAAAGTAAGTAAAATGCATGTGGAATGCAAATTAAAAGTTTAATTATTCAGAATATTTTCTTGTTTGAACTCCATTGAGTAAAAATTTTTACATCGAAAACTAAATCCGTGATATAATGAAATCAATTAAGATTAAACTGCGATTTTAGATTATAATCACGCAAATTTACTCTTTTTTATTCCTTTATTAATAAATTACCTAACTTACGACATTCTTTCGTTTGAAACTTTTCACAACATCTGTCTTTTTAAGGGTTATTTGGGTAATGGGGCGATTTGTATTGCTGATCCTGAAGATTGCGTACATTATCCAGGCCTCTGCCACTATCATGCAATTTGCAACAAAGATAGAAGACGCTGCCTGTGTTCGCGAGGTCATTTTAATTAATCATTCTATTTTATCGATGAAAATGAAATTCTTATAGAAAAGAAATTAACTGAAGGATAGATCAAAAATGTTTTAAAAATTCATATGAGGATAAAAACGAAAATCAGAGATGTAATTATGAACTGCATCAGTTGAAGGCTATATTGGAAATGGAACAGAATGCAAGAGAAAGACAAATCTTTCATGTTTGAATGATCCAAAAATTTGTGATCAGAACGCAAAGTGTCTAATAACGGGTTTATGTCAGTGCAATGATGGATTCCAAGGTGATGGATATTACTGTCGTTCAGGTTAGTCTCTCCATATCACTTAGATTTGTTAAGTATTTTTCATGACTTTTTTAATTTAATTTTATTTCACACCGATAACATGCAATATTTCTAGGTGGCTAAAGACAATAGAAGTGATTATTAAGTAATCAAAATTTTAAAAATACTTGACAAATCTATGATACGGGAAAGTTTAAAAATTTAGCAACTTATTTAAATATTCTGCAAAAAATAAACTGACTTTTGAGCAAATCGTAAGTGCTGAAAATTTCTTCCTATTTCATATTTTTAAAAAGGATCAGAAAATCAAAAGAAATTTATTTTATCCAATGAAAATATCTTTGCATTATTAGAAAAAATGATTTTGAGGCATAATTTGGGTAATTTATTAATAAATAATCTAAACAACATACTATCTGGTTAAATCTTTTCGACCTCAACTAATTATTATAGTAGTTGCGAGAAAAGAAGGATCACTGGCAGATATCAGTAAAGAACGTAATGACTACCTACAGTGTTCTGCAGCATGCGCTATAAATGAAGAATGTGTCAAAGGGAAATGTCGTTGTTCCGTTGGTTACAAAAGGGGTCCAAATGCGATTTGCATGGGTAATAACTCAAGTCGACAACGATCAGCATATTTTTCATGGCTTTTTAAACTAATTCTTGTAAAAATGCAAAGTTTTTGTCCAATTTTTTCAACTAATGTATAGGGTATTTTGCTGTTTTTGTGTCTAAACAATGTGAAGCAGTAACTATAGATATTGATGAGTGTGCTATGGGCAACCACAATTGTCATGCATTGGCAGCTTGTACTAATACTCTCGGTTCCTATGCGTGTACTTGTCCAGAAGGTTATCAAGGTGACGGACACGTGTGTGCTCAGCGTCATCACCTTCATAATATGTCAGGTAGTTCCATAAAAATCCAAGTATTTGTTCCAAATTATATTACTTTCAGTATCAGCTTAGAAGTTCAAACTAGAGACGATAAATATAATCATGATTACGCAGCGTTAGTAATCAAATTTCAGCCAAATATTAACTTGAATTATACGTTTAGAAATTTCGCAATTTACTTTCGTTTCAAACAAGTTAGAGTATTCACGTCTATAGTGATTGCAAGCTGTACAACTTTTTTAGAACAGAAAGCGATTTTTCTGCATGATTTTCATTTCCTTCCTTTTTAGTCTATATTCTCATGTTGATCATAAATCGCAACTACTTGGTTTTTGCTTTTTTAGTCGAATGTGAATTAGACGGGATGACCATGGTGTTAAAAAGTAATCCTGACCTATATGGAGGGCGAATATTTATCAGAGGTCAAACAGACAATCCATTTTGCTCTAAAAAATTAGATATTTTTGCAAATAACGAGACCGAATATCATTTCAAAATCCAATATGATCAATGCAACGTGAAATTGGAAAAACCAGTATGACTTGCATAATTTGATTCGTTAACAATGAATATCTTTTAACAACTGAATCATTAAACAATATCATTTGGTTTTACTACCATGACAACACTAAACTTTCATGATTGAAAACAATTTTTCTTCAAAAAATTGCGTTTTCTGTAGTTATCAGAAAAAACTTAATTAATTGCAACTACGACTGAGGATTTTTTCCCATCTGATCATTTATATCATGCAATTTTTTATTTTATACATACTGCAGATTGATATGCAGTAATATGTGAAATAAGACTATATTGAGTACATTAAGTAAAATGAACTTGACGGAAGGAAATAAACAACCAACATATATAATTTTAGGACACCGTTGCGGTAACAGTAATAATTCAACGGCACCCAATGTTCATCACACAACGGGCAGATGCTTACGATGTTAGATGCACGTATCCAATTGGCATGCGCAAGGTTTTAGCTTAATTTATTCAATTTAATCAGCTGACAGTAATAGCAGCAGAATTTGGGTATTAATAATAACAGTTTTTTTATCATTTCCTATTCGTTTCTTATTTGTTTATTGTTTATCTATTACTGTCATTAAAACTGTTATAAAAATAATTATTAAAGTTAATTAAAAGTTAGAATTACAAGCATTCGTCATGAAAACAATAAGGGTTATTTCTTGCTGCTTATTTGAATTATTTGGTCAAATCCAAAGTTGTCAAACATAATTTTATTCAAATTTATTGCTTTTTAGATTTTTAATTGTAAGAGATTGTGTTAGACTCAAACTTTGTACAAATTATAAACTTGAGCTTTTACTGTAGGTAGTAAGTCATGTGGGTATTTCCGAGATAACCACAACAAAAACAATCATCGAAACGGGAAATGGACCTACATGCTTATTAATTGTTACAAATGAAGAAAATGAACCAGTGGATACAGCAACCGTCGGACAACCCTTGAAACTTTCCTTGGCTGTTGAACCCAATGGTTCGTTCATTATAATACCGAAATTTCGCATTAAGCATAATTTTCTTAAATTCAAGTAAAAAGATGCATGTCAGGTGGTGTTACTGTATGCTTTGTTTGTAAAAATATAACTTAAGAAAAGTTCAACTAAATTCTGTGCTAATTAAATGAGATGAGGAAGTGCAGATTACATTTCACTCGTATTGTATCTAGTAGCACTCAAAACTGCTCATATTTTGAAACAAAGCTTGTTATATAGAGAAGTGTGGGGCATCGAAGTTGATAGCAATGAATGGAGTGAAAATCTCAAGTACAGATGCAAAAGTTTGCCACAAGCCATAAAGCAGGCAAAATATTTAAAATTTTCAGACACTTACGCAGTTCTGCCAAGGAACTGTTTTGCAATCAACTTAGAAAGCAGCGAATTATATTCATTGACGGATCAAGCGGGGTGCGCTATCGATACAGAACTTTTTCCCGAATGGACTCATCAATTTTCTTGGCTTGCAATCGCCACATTTAGGACATTCAAATGGCCAGATAGTTCAATGATTCGTTTTCAGTGTGATTGCTCCGCCTGTATTGAAACTTGTCCAAAGGTTTTGTTCTTTTTTAATCACTAATTTATCGACTTCGTCACAAAATTGCTTGACTGATTACATTTGGAAAAATATTAAAAGTATGATATGACAAAGTTGTGATCAAAATATGCAATTTAAATATGACTACAAAGCTTATTTTCATTTTACCATGACCTCTTTTGAAAGTTCACTTCGAATTCCAATGAAAAAATGTGACGTAAATTTGAAGATCAACTGTGAAAAACGACGAGAAGCAATGAAATTCCACCGCATTAAGCGCGAAAAATCACGAGAAATTGCGCAAGAAAACGTTGATGAAGATTTGGAGAAGCACATTGTAAATGGTAGTAAGTGGATGACATATTCTACAGCATTACACGTTAATGAAGAAGAAGAACTTGTACGTGCTCAGCGTGATATGAAACGTTGGAAATATCAAGGTAAATAAGCTTTTCATTAAAAATAAAGAAACTCATTTCTTGACAAAAAAAATTAGCGCGAGAAAAAAGTATATATATAAATATATATAGCTAAAGAAATTTGAGTGATTAAAAATTGAATTAAGTAATTCTTTTAGGCATAAAAGCAATGGATGAACCAGTAAATTTGTTCAGCGGTAATCAAATTTGTATTCAAACAATTTGGATAGCACTGTCTCTTCTGCCATTAGTACTCTTGTTCATTATTATTGGACTACTTATGATAAATTGGAGTAAGCAGAAGAAGCCCTTTGTCAGTTACTGGAGGAAGACATCATACTCGAGAACCATTGTTGACCACAAACCTTCATATCTCCAATTCTAATCTTGTTCTCTTCTTGAATGCAAAAGTGAACTTGTCATTTATTGTTTCGTCTATTATTCACATACTGTTAACTGTCTCCATGTTTGTTGTTATCACCGTACTACTGTTCCGTTTTGTTAGTTATATGCTTTGTTGTCAAGCACCAGCACAAGTTAGTTTAATCAAGTTTGTAACTGAAGTAATGAAATTCTAGACGAGCGATGCAATAGTCAGTCGAGGCTTGACTTGAAAATTGTGCATGAAAAGACGAAGATAAGTTTGTCAAATAAAAATTGTTAGAATCATTCTTGACGCATCGGCTTGACGCTCAATCACACAGTATCACTGTTACCAAGTGATTAATTGACACTTATCATTTTTGCAAAAAGCACAAACTATTAAGTTGTGCAGCGATATCTAGCAGGTATGGGAAAATACCGATCGACTAGGCAATTTGAATGGATTTATTCGGTTATTCACATAGCTCCTCCACAAAGACCCATTTATTCACGATCACATATATCGCAAATAAACAATGACTAATTTGTAATCATTTCAAATCACTGATAAAATGATAAATTGGGTTTCAATGATAAATTACAACAACCAGTCTACAACGTTGCTATTGCTTCATTCCAATCACTTACTGCGAGGCCATCATCCATTTTTCATTTTCAGATTTTACTAATCACTCCCAACATATACCTAATATTTCATATTCCTCAGCAATAATTAAATATGTTAATAGTTGCTTGAACTTGCTCTATCAATCCTTAACATCAAATCTCATGACAGATCAAATAGTGCCACCTCTTTACACATTAACAACTCAACCTGAATGCTCATTACGATTGCACACAAAATCCCCCAAAAGACTTCTTCGCAGTAAAATACAACCCCGACCTCATCTAACAACACAGACTAATGTAATGTAGTAAGGACTGAAGTCCAAATTCTAACATCATTTCCTGAGTTGATGAATAAAAATCAAGCAAATCTATGAGTATGTTTGCTACCAAAGGTCACTGAAATATATCGCAATATAAGTAACAAACTTCCGTGGCAATTCAGAAACCACTTTTATGGAAACATCATCCAAGTTACAATCATACAGATCACGCAAAGAAACTGGGCACATTTGCAGATAAGTGCGTGGTATAAAGATAAACATTTCATTCATAAACCTGTATACAAGTTTATAATGCCGTCAACTGCATAGAAAAAATATAACTTTTAGGTAAGTAGAAACTCTACGACAGCAAAAAGCAGTCTTCATTCAGTCTAATGAAACATAAAACGACTTACACCAAGATTTTTATAAGCAACACAAAATGTGCACATAAATACAAAGTTAAAAATACTAATAGACAGACTCCAAAATTCAAGGCCTCAAGTGAAGAACTCTTTAAACCCTGTATATGCTCATCAGTTATAATTACAAGTATTACATTCAATATGATTAATGAATGAAAAAGTGGAAGCGCACAAAACTGAACACTCCTTCCTTTGAAAACCATCTAAATGAGTACCAAAAATAGGAAAAAGATGGGATTCCAAGAAATTTTGTTCTTTAGATTTATGATTAAGTGTCGTTGATTAAAAAAAACGCATAACCACACAAACTTCTATCCCAATAGTTGTTCTCTTTGGAGTACCATACAGTAATTTTTTTTACATGATCAAAAATAGAACCATGTTTAAAGAATGACAAAATCTTTATCACTGTTTCATCTTTCGCAAAATAACTTCATTAAATGCGAAGGAACCGCTGATGTTTCGTGCGTGCTACGTGGGGAAAAAACTGGTCACAAATCAGGAAGTTTTAAAGAGCTGCCTGCAGAAACCATATTATGTACATCAGCAACAATAAGTTGAGCAATCTGATCAGCTACTTCTGCTTCCTGAATCGAAATTACTTCTTTTATTGAAATTTTATGTTGCTGTTATAAATGTTTAACGCTAACGCAGTTTTACATCCACTGATATGAAGGAAAATGACTAAATTCGGAAGATGTTATAAGAAAAGTTCAAAGAAATAGTTGCTTAGTCCTCTTTAACTAATTCATTACTGAAATCCAACTCGATTGAGTTATCAGCAGTTTATCTAGCACAATTGGTTTAATAATATATCCGTATTTACCATAAATATGATAGAAAAAACCTGATTTAACATACTTTTTTATTGAAGAAATGTAAATATTTATCAAGTTTATTTTTAAGCTTGTGTCTAGCATTTTTATTACCACCAAAACTATTATCATACATTGGCCAATAGCGTCCCATATCGTCTACTGTAGCCAGTGATATGTTCCTAGAAGGCAAAAATTGTACCTAAGATTATCAAAGCACACACAATATGTTTGAAATATAATGAATACCAACATCAGCTGAACAATAAAAGTGAGTAAAGTTCTTTGATGAATGGAATTTATTAGTTTAAGATATATATTACTTTCAGCACTAAAAGTTAAACTATAAATTAAGAGCACAAAGGTTCTACAAATCCACAAGTTTTATTGCAATCAAATCAAAAATATATGCAATATAAAAGGAACAAAAAACTAATAGATATAAAATATTAAAATAAAACAAAGCTTATGTTTCGTGGCCTAGAAAACTCACGTCTTAGATCTACCACTGCGGGAAACATTCGTGTTATACGAACTTAAACTATCTGGCTGCGAAGATGTCTCATCTTCCTCTTTACTGGTAGGAACTAGAGAAACCGATGATGAATGATCAAGATAAGTTAAACTGCGAGACAATTTCTTCTCGCAGACTGATGAAGACATACTAGTATCCGAAAATTGATCATAACCGTTAGCTAGAATGAACATTTTAACTAAAACTTCTCAATATGTTCTATATTACTCTGAAAAACACTGAATCCAAACTTCGCCAAAAATTTATGAATTTCTGTCTTATTTCAAACAACTGAGAAAAAATTTATTGGAATTAACTTAATTTAAATATTTTTCGAATGAGAAATGTATAATTTAAAATCAGCTGAAATGAATGTAAAAAAATTTTCAAAAATTAATTTAACTTGAAATTATTAGAAAATGGAAGTTAGATATTACAAATTAACTCTTATTTGAAAAATATAAAAGCGTAACAACAAACCAAAAGTTTTCTTACTCATATTCGGATTCGGTAGCTCAATACTGTTATCTATTTGAGCTATCAGACTTTGTAAGTACTTCACAAATGCAGGCGATGCAGAAAAACGCTTCAAATAGTTCTGAAAGCATCAGATCTAGTTCTCTAAAACAAATTTTGGCAATAGAAAAAAATAAAAAATAGTTTGTTACGCTTATATCTTTATTTTGTCACATACTGCATCACAAAAATAGAAAATAAATTATATTCCAAACATTTCAAAGAAAATTTATTCAGATTTCCTAACCCGTTCCAAAATATGTATTGCCATAAGCCGTGCTGCTTCAAAACATCCCCCAGATGGTCTACCACTTTTTCCACAAATATCACTTTCTATTTGTATTCGAATTTTCGCTCCAAAATTCAACGGTTCTGTGGCCTGCATCGAAAAATATCTGGAAAATGAGCCGATGAAAACACAACGTCAACTTTCTTTAAAATCTATGACTGTGATGATAAACAGATATGTATGATGCTGCCAACCACTCACACTGATAACTGTAGTAAATAATGATCACAGATGATTAAGCTGTAATAAATATCCAATTATTGATATTTAATCAGCAAAACAATTTCTGCATAAGTTATTATGCCCAATTCATTTCATATATTTTTTAGCTCCATGGAAAAATGTTAATAAATTGATGGATAAATAAATGTGGATATTATAAAAACACGTAAATAATAAACTTGTTATATATTATCATGGCATCTTCAACTGCTTGTTCGTTGCTTAGTGTCCTTAATAATTGTTCGGTAAAAGATTCAGCAGAAATAATAAATTTGATTAGCTTCCCTCCATCTTCATTTTCCATATACTGTAAATTGAATTTTCCACTATTAGTGAGGCTGATGCAGACTTTTCGAAATTACAACACTCTATGTAAACAAACTAGAAGTTTGTTCTCAAATAATATTGCTTTTACGACCGTTATATTGAGAAGCAATCAAAAGTCAAATATTCTTCATATAAAACGCGTATGCTATAGATCCGACTCAAAAATTTTCTTTGCAAGCTTTGTGTCAAGTTCCATACTTTTTTCGCTCTTTCTTCTTTCGTACAAGGGCCGAAACTTCCTTCTGACAAACACCTGATACGCAATAAAATGACTTAAAACCCTAAAATTTCGAATAAAATACTGAGTATTTATGCAAGATTTGCGGAAAGAAGCAAAAAATACATTACTTCGACAAATGCACCAAGTAATGGTTGACATAACATGATGTCTTTCATTGTAATCGCCCCACTGCTAATAACATCTATACGATGCTTAATATAGTAGACACTATCCTCAAATTCCTTGAAGTACCTGTGTAGTTTTATATATAAATAAGAGCAAAATGTAATGAAAGAAGAAGCAATCTAACATAAGAAAAATTGCTGTCTTTTTTTAGATCTAGCAAAGACACAAACAAATATTTTTTTGTACAGGATACTAGCAAACTTTCTAAAAGTATTCTGACAGAATGAAAAAATAGATTTAGAAATAAAAGACACCAATATCGCAGATTAAAAATAGACAATAAAGACACAGACCGTTTTTCCATGATATCAAGAACAAATTTTTGAGCCTCAGAAAAACAATAAGGATCCACAGAACTGTTCTTCCTATTGATATGATCTACAAAATAAAAAATCATGCAGAAAACCAATAAAAACATGATATATCATCGCCAGTTCAAAATGACTGATAACTTCAAAATTTTTCAAAAAGTGCAACTTCTAATTTTTTTAGTAAAAATTTTCGTTTGAGACTCTCAACATATCAACATTTCTGCACTGTGGTGAATAATCCTGAGACTTTACCCATAATCATTTTTCGTAGAGATTCCGCAATGGTGATTGAACAAAGTGCATCTTTGCTTAGATATTTCGAGTAAATGTACAATGCATCGTTCTTAATCACTAAAATGTATCAAAATATAACTTGATTTTAACTATTTGCAAACATATTTTACATCCCTATCAAATTTTTATTCTAACGAGAAATGCAATGTTTAATCTTAGCAATCAATAAGCTCAACTAAAAATTAAGCACCGTTAACGTTAAAGACTAGCTTTTAAGAGCAAATGATATCAAACTATTAAAAACAATACTTGCAATTAAAGCTCCATCTTTCTCTTTAGCCGCAAGTGCAGAACATTGAAAACTTTCAACATGCAACCAAAATTTTATTAAGTTGAGCTGACCTGAGATTAAAATTCAATTATGAACGAAAAAAGGTGAAATTGCGCGCAATTTTACGTGTTAGACTTAGGTGTATTAAGTCAGAGTCTATTTGTAAAAATAGCTATATATATATATAGTTTTAAGTTTGTTGTGATGGCCTCTTTTGCTTCATATTTTCGAAGTCAACGGCAGTGGATTACACGGAAGATGTAGCAATTTTCATCACTAACTAGATAAGTTATGAGAACAAAATGTGTGTCAACACAGTTGAAATTATCTACCGATTGTTTCCATGAACTGAATGAAATATGCCAACGCAGCAGCATCATGTAATGTTTCGTTCAAAGTATAGACAAGCGAGGGACTTCGCGTAATCAGTTGACTGAGAGGCTGAGATCCACCTGAAATTTCATATTTTTTTAACGAATTCTGTTTTGTTTTACCATAGAACCTGAAAGTTATTAGAGACACATTTATATTATAATGCATACTGCTGATTACAAGTCTGAAGCCTACTTAAAAGCTCTAAAACTTTGAAAGATAGGCAAAAAGTTAAGGTAAACTTATCAAGATCGTCACAGAGATTCATGCTACTATATGTGGAGAAATACAGCAATATTTTCTAGGTAGGCTGCGCAAGACTTTCACACAACATCTATCATAGCGTTCTCAGCATTTTGAATTTCTCGCGACAAATATAAGATCGCCAAACCATTCGCTTACTAATCTTGTGCTACGATGATTTAGTGCCTTACACATTCATTGCACCCCACCCTTACACACAGCAGACCACACACCTTTCAGTTATTTTTGAAAGCAAATGAACTAAACACGGTCCCTTGTGCTACTGAACAGTCTCACATACCATAATTTTGTTATGAATGGATTCTGTTAAGTCGAAGTCGCCTTATGACAGAAATTAAGTTTTGTTTTCCATTTCGTTTAGAATTATATTTCAGTACTAAAACTTGTTATTTAAGGGATTTACGATGCTTCAGCGACATTTAGTTCGAAAGTAAGCAGTGTCGTTATTGGTAAAATGAAATTTCTAGCACTTTTTGAAATATTCAGTAGGTAGCAGTTGAGCTAGAAATAATCTTGTAATCCCCAAGCTTGTATTCAGTCTCTTTCCAACTTTCAAGAAAATTTTCAGTGTAGTGGATAATAAGTCTAACAGCGATGAAACTGAAGATTGGCTGAAATTTGTATGTTCTGTTTGTGGTTTGGCTGAAAATTGTCGCTATGGTTTGGTTGAAGTTTCGGTTAGGACGTTAGTTTTCCTATTATTCTTCGTTTTTTTGTGATTTTCGGTGAAATATACAGTAGTTACGACTTCAGTTTCTCACATACTGCGCTAGTAGCTGTGATCAATTTATCAAGCACCTAACGCTTTCGATCTGTTTACTGAAAAATTAGTGACTCGCTATTGATTTCATATAAGCTCATGAAAGATATAGATCAGCCTGTTTGTTGCCTACTTTCTAAGTTTAAGCTTAAGTTGGATACAGCAACATATTGAAAGGGCAATAAATTTTCTTAACTTGTAGTAGTATAAATAAGTTCTATCTATCTTTATTTGAACAACTGCATATGCCATTTATGATGTTTGAAAGTGTGGTTCAAAAAATAAGGGGACTTTTACTGCTTTTTTTTGAGTATTTTAATTATATTTCTAACTTGAAAAATATAAACTTCTGACCATTCGGAAAATAAAAGTTCAACTGTTGTGATAATTTCATTTTATTCGCCTTATTTTCTCAACTGGTATAAATCAAAATGGTTTTTAAAAAAATTTTAAAAACGAAAAAAAACGATTCGTTTCAATTCAGAAATGAATATATTCAAGTGCAGTCTTCGTCTTTATAGACATACCTACCGATACAAAGATGAAATGTATTACATTTTGGATCCATTCAGAAATAGAAATCACGTGGATGAAAGGAGAATGCCTGCAGAAAAACCCAGCTATAAAAGTTCTGGAAATAATTCGATTCCAAATATTCTTGATATATTTGTAATCGGAGCACTTTGCAGTTCATGTGGACAACCCGTCTGCATTGATGAAGTAAGCTGTTTCTGCACTTTAAAACCGCAAAAATTGTGTCAATGAGAAGTAAGGAGTAACAATAGTTTAAAATATTGATGTTTTGATGTGTGGAAAAACTAGTGCATTTTATGAAATTAAGATATCTGAATTTCATATTTTATAAGATAATAGATTAGATCTGAAATCAAATGTATATAACCTCTGCTTATATTATTTATTTTGTCGATATATCGTGTAATATGTCAAATAATCTTTAAGACTTTGATGTGACTGTGTATTTGAAACTTCTATTTTTGTTTTATAATGTAAAGGTTAAGATTCAAATGTTATCTGACTAAGTGTTATGGTGTTCTCATACGAGTTTTCTCAAATGAAATCAGTTTACAGTAAAATGTATATTTCAGATCTGTAGTGTTTTCTATACAAAAACTTTTTGTACTCTCTGTCTTTATCGAGAAAAAAGTCATTTTCCGAAAGAATTCGTCGAGGTTTGTCCAGTTTTTTGCTTGCAGAACCAAATTAACTAGTAGATCTCTTTGTCATTGTGTTATACAGTAATCACTTTTTGATTCTTGATAAAAAGGGAATTTTTATGTAGAAAACTGTACGTAATTCCTAACATCAAAACCAAATAAAACTTTGGATTTAATTATTCCACTTAAGCAATAGTCTACCATTTACTTGAAAAAATATCAAGTTGCAATGAAATGAAAGTTTTTGTTCGAAAGGCTTTCGTATCATACTTTCAGCAAACTGAAACAGTGCGAAAACAGCGCCAACACGAGCAAAAAAAAGTTGAAATGATGTCAGACATATGAATTTTTGTCTCACATTGTATATTATGACGAGGATCAACACAGTGCATAAACTTTGTTTTTTACTTTTTGTGCTTATCAGCTTTATTTGCAATACTATTATTATCACGAGTCACAGCATTTGTACTAGTTGGATTGCAAAGCGTTGAAGGTAAGTTTTTGTAACCCTTCGCAAAAGAATTCATGCTTTCTATTGGGGATTATGGTTAAATGAAATATTGACTCTGAAGTCTGTTTTGTTTTTTCCAATAATATAAGGTTCCTAATTCTGAAACATATTTTTTTGGCTTGACATATGCATGCATTAGTATCAAAATTGTCTGATTTTGTAGTAATGTAAAAATGACATTGAATTGCTGCATCGTTATGAGTTTTCACAATAATATAACTCAATGTTGTTAGCAGGGTATTCCAAGATATGAGGTAAGATTTTACAATATTTATCAGAACTGCTCACTTTTCCATTCATAGACTTTGCTGTAAAATCAGATAATTGTGAAACTTTATCTGAATTGAATGAATATGCATGCATCAGTATTAAGACAATCAAATGTCGTGGTGTTATAGAAATAACACTGAATTTATTTTTACATCAAGATCAGCAGTGTGATACTTAGACGCCTTATCTCTGTTACTTTGTCAGGTGATCGAATGCGATGTTTTCGAACGTTTTCTTGAGCACTGTCGATTGGATATATACCTCGACGTGATCATTGATTTCCTTTGCGTGATCTTTATGGAAGTTCGTCTCCATCCCATCTGAAGTCATCACATGCTTAATTATTTTTGTTCTGCATTTTCATCTCTTCTTCGAGTTTATTAGCCAGTATCATACTTTCGCTTCTCGGTCTCGACTGCTATAAACCTGAGTTAAACAGTAATGCCAACCTCTATCAGAAGTAATTCTTATCGCTTCTTATCGTATACCATAATGTCCGATCGGTCAACCTTTATTCCATTCGCTCTTCTTGCGTATTGGCTCTTATCTATGTGTTCTTACCAGCGACGATTTCCTTAACAGATGGCTTCGCATGCGTGGCGATACTTTCAGACCATACGTCTACAGTTTTCATTCATATTTGTCGAGAGATGTTGATGATATTGGTGTGATGAACAGGAATTTGGATAAGTCCGTCAAGAACAAATGAGATCTTTATTTTGAGGAAGAGACGAAGAAGACAGGTTTAGAACCGCTTAGTGAAGTTTATTTCCGTCGTTTGGTTCACAAATCTTGTCTGAGCGCCTTTTATAACTAATCTTCCCACTACAAATCATAATCACCATGTTTTACTTTTTACCACATCAGATCATACGTCATACTATTTTCCAGTAAGGGATAGGAAGAGTATAAAATTAAATACCAGTTACTTCGGAAGTTCTTTTCGTCACATTTCTACGCTATATAGCTCTTCATGTATCTAATTCATAGAAGTGTAGTATGTGATTATTATTTAAATACAGTTCGGTACATATAATTCCTTACTTGGTATTTCGCTCTCAAAATCGAAACATTTAGTAGAACTTGGTGTTGAAGTAAGTTTTCATTCAATACCTAGAAGGTTGTGGCTAGTTATATATTAGTAAATTATACGAATTTTTTTCTAGAAACCAAAAATCTAGAAACTAGCAAACTTTCCTTTTTCATATCGACAAAGGCCGGTAGTCAAAATTAAAGGTTTTGGTTTGCATTTCATATGCGAATTTAAAATTTACTGATAAAAATTTAGACGTCATGAAAGCTATGGCACTATGGAGTCAAACCTTTAAATAAACTTAATTCCAGGGTCTACAAAAACATGATTCTACTTATCTGCATATTAGCAGTGAATTCTGGCTTAGCGAAATCTGTAGACTGGGAAGCTGCCGATCAAGAATTTAGCCCTTACGTTTTCACGCATTACACGTTGCCATTTAAATATGTTTGTCACTTTTAATTAATGATGCAGTACACTTTTCGTAATGTTCTGTATCGTTAATAGCTTTGGCAGTACCACGAGTAACTTTATTTTCATGTCTTTGAAAACTTTAAACTCAGACTTTATTGATTTATTGAATAGTAAGCTTGCGACCAAATTGGCAAGGGAGTCATTCAGATGGAACTATTCTGAAATTCAAGAAATTGAGGTAGATCTACATATAACTTCGAAGTGAAATCAAGGATTTAGAAAAATCATGCTGGTGAATGGTTTGGTTACGAGACGGCATATATTCAAAATCCGTTAGTATCCCGAGCAAAGGCTGTGAAGAAATATGTAATTCTAATGTTGTATATAGTCAGCAGCTTCAGCAATATCACGAATAATGTTCCTTCTATGTTTACAGTTATGACTACTAGGAAATCCAAAACTGAAGAAATTGTTCAATCCTTGATATTGTTTTAGCACCGCATACCATTACCACCCACAACTGGACAATTTGGTGCGTGGAGTAATCTTGCTGATGTTACATCTAACCAGGAAAATACATGGAATTTCGAGAAGCGTGTCGATTCCAAAGTTTGGTGGCCAAGAGTTTCAATGTCAAGTTCACAAATTTGATTCACTTCGATATTGAAATTGAATCTACGCTTTACGTTGAACCCCAACTACCATGTTAGAACATGTTTTAATTCTTCTTAATAATTACGTTCATGATGCTGTGGAGAGATATATTTCGAAAAATGATAACGGTTCAATGAGATATTTACTTATAATGCTAACTCACTTTTATAATGTAGATGCCTAAATAAATCGTGGTTAATATCATCGTGGTTAATATCATTTAAATGAAAGTAACGGAGAAGTTTCAATATATTGTGTCTAAATATAGGAAGCCATTTAAAGTTTCTACGGATGCATTATCTCAGTGAAATAAATGTCAAGCTATAAACGAAGCATTGATATAACATGCCCTCAGTCTTCAACCCTTACCTAACCCCAGTAAAATCAAATCTCTTTCACCACTCCAAAACCAAAGATTCACAGATGCCTAAATAAACAAAATGGATGACTTTGAGAAGGGTCAAAAATGTCGATGTAATTATTGAAATTTCCCCTCAATAAAACAATTTCTTTAACTTCTACTGCAATAAATTTGAAGTATTCCACATAATCCAAAACTTCAGTCATGTTCTATTGTAATAATTAGACGCAAAGGCTTGAAAAACATACTTTAATTATAATGCTTCAATTAGAAATCGAAGTTCGGCTTGTGATTAATCTTTGAGAGTCTAAAAGTACCCTTCGACGTGGTAACAAAGCGGAGCTTTCAGAGGAGTTAACTCGGGGAATCAAAAGAACACAAAACCGATACCACAAAAGTTATTGAAAGAAGCAAATCAGAATTTATGAAACAGCTGAGGAACGATATCCCACACATTATGACTGCAAAATATATATTACATAACAAGTGTCTGATGTCTCTTATACATTAAAAATAAACTATAATAACAGTGTTTTCTCTTTTTTTCTTAACATTTAACATTTTTCGTTTTTATACGCATTTACAACAACCCCAAATCCAAGCAGGGTCAATGTTTTGCAGCATCTCGCTCTTCTTTTAAACTTCGTAAATAACGCAGGGCTCGTTTTGCTGCGGTACATTTGGCAATTCGATAACTTCTACCCATTCCAGTAAAACGACATACGCCTTGAATATCGACTGTTACACGAACTTTTCCCGTTTCCAAAATTCTTTCTAGTTTCCTGTAACGAAAGCAAAATCATAAATTGAGAAAATTAGAGTGATGATACTGCAATCTATATTTAATTTGAAGGATGGTGACATAAAATATGATGAGATTATGAAAAAAATTTTTCAACTGAAATACGGCTTAAATAGTTCACATATTTATGTCATGAATTAAATAAGCAGTTTTGCACATAAAACCACGTAAAAACTTTGAGTCTGACAACCGTCAAATTGTTCTATCTTTCTATTAATATAATAACTAGATAATACTGAAACATACGAAAAACGAGCTCGATCTGGTTCCATCTCAAGTAATTCACGAATAGGTGATTTTGGAGGATTATTACAACATTCTTCGATGGTTTCTTTCATTAAAATGTAAAAAACTCTCCATACAACATTTAGGCTTCGTCCACTATCCTTAAGATTTCTTAAAAAATTGGAAAAAACAGAATAATACCAGTGACATAAAAATATAAATTTAATTTAAAATTAGTTCCTCATTAAGTGGAACAAAAAAAAATGAAAAATGGACAAAAATAAATAAGTTTACACGTGAGTTAGAGAGAGATACTAGCAATTAATAAATTACCAAATATATCGCTCCAGCAACAGATTCAAATATATCTCCCAACGCTTTTGGGACTTCAATATCTTCCTCTTCCCCTTCATCAATTTCTTCTTCAGTTGTCACCATATACATCTAAAAACAAAACTGAATCAAATTCTTCTCCACTAAAAAAAACAGACAAAAAACTTCTGATCTTTAATTAGCAGCACTCATTCTACAAATACAACTATGTTGAAGGAAACATCAACAACAAAAGAAAAAAACAGTTATGTTGAAAAGACTTCAGCAAAAATATTGAAATTTAAATGTAACTGATATAAAAATATTAAATTAAATTCAAATTTCCAAAACAGGCAAAGAAGACCTCTTCATTGAAGTTAGCTCCACAAAGATTTTTCTCTGCGCAGAGACGAACAAATTTTTCAATCATATTATACAATCCAGGACACATTGCAATGAAATGCTGAAACACAACTTATAAAATGAGTATTCATCAAAATAATCAACAAAGGACATTAATTCGTAAATTCGGTGTAACATTCAGTAAGATCATATGAAACTTTTCAGCAAGTTAACAAACTGAAACAGCTACCTGACAGTAACACGTTAGTCAATTTTTTACACTGATGAACAGAAAAAGAAGTGAAAAGGTTTGCTAATATGAACACAGCACACTATGAAATTTAAGAGCACTTCTGAAATTCCATGCTATATTTTGTTTTCATTTTACAACTGAAAAAATACCTTATGGAAACTATATTTTACAGCTAATGATGCAAAAATAGTATTATTAACAAGTGCAGAACGAAGGTCTGTTAGAACACCTGGACTGTAGTGTGATGAATGTTGATAAAGGAACCTAGTAATTATATAATCCAACACTGCATCACCAAGGAATTCCAAACGCTGAAGAAAAAAATCATTGAAATTTCCAAGCATTTGCTAATAAAACATGAGTGCGGTCCTATTCATTTTCCTTGAAGATATTTGAAAAAAAAAAAGATGCATGAAAAATTACCAAAGCACGTTTTTAAAAGGTATAAACTCCTCTGAACTCAAAAAGAAAACCTGATAACAATTAGTGATTCGGTTTTTGAAATATGAAGCATGTGCGAATGCTTGCACAAGATATGCTCGATCGGTAAAATAATAACCAATAGAATCTTCTAATTTAGATAATTGAAATTTTATCCATAAATCATTTAGCTGCTTTAACGATTCTGATGGCTAAAAATTGCGTAATCAATAAAAAATTCTTCAAAAGCTTACTTCATAACATGCTATTACTCAGCTTTCATTATGAAGATTTCATTAAAGATCTTTTTTGATTATACTTATGCATAATGCTCCAAATACCAAATAAATGTGCATGAATGAAACTAAGTTTGAACCACCAAAAGTAAGTTACTTTTGTAATGTTACTTTGAGAAATTTCCAAATATGAGAAGAAAATTGCACTAATTTTTAGAAAACTTTGCATAACATCTGAAGAATGAATAATAAGTAAACATTTTTTCACTGTTTACAAATATACATGAACGATTATCACTTGAAAATACAACAGTCGATGCAACAAAATGAACACAACGTCTTGAACTAGGTTACCTTTTCGATGGAATCAATATGTCGCAATAAGGGTGATTCCATTTTCAATGGTTCTGTAATTACCTTCAATCCCAGCCACTTCATGAATTTCAATGCTGCTTTAGAACCGAGTTCAAGTAAATGCACACCAATAAGAGCTTCCACCACATCAGCAATAGACTTGTCAGCCAAACTTTGTTGTGTTAATAAGTTATATGGAAGTGGAGTGACATCTTCACAATCCCAACTTGCTGTCGCATTCTGAAATCAGATATTATAATAAATATAAACAACTTTAAATAATATATAACTATACATGGTTGACGAATGAGATAGAATTTGTAGATAATGTCCAGTATGTGAAAAAGTTCTTTGAACAAATAACAAGTAATAAAAGAACCACAATTTACTTTTGGAAATTCGATGATCTCAACACCGTCAGAAACTCGACGAACTTGAATACCTGAATCAGCTTCATCCCAACCAGTTGGTTTCTTTATCTGATAATGAATATAAATTAAAATAAAGGTAACAATCATATACCAAATTTCAGAACTCTACATTAATATGTAAAGATACCCCTTTTTGATCATTCAGTATTTACCAGCGCTTTGTGGATATTCAACGATCAACAAAGAAGGATAACTGAATATGCGACATAAATGATTTAAAAAAGTTTATATAAAATCCAACAAAAAAATCTAGAAGAGTAAACTAAATTGATGAGAAAGAATTCCTTAATGTGTTCAACAAACAGATGAGTAATATTGAAATCAAACCGGCTCAAGCTGTTCGACTGACTTCCCTTCAAGAACATTCTCAAAAAAATTATCATTTTTTTCTGCATCGCAATTATTTGGTGCTTTGAAATTGGACACTGGCGCATAACTATAATAGGGAAAACACAATTTCTTGAAAGCCACATATATAAAGTGCATAAACTGAGTAATAATAAATGAACTTACGTTACACGAACTTCAGAGCATGCATACAAGTAAAAGCAATAACATTATTTTTATTATTATTACGAAGCATTTACCAGGGAGGTAACCACCCATCATTGGGGTCAAACTTTGAACCAACTATCAGAGAAGGAAGATTATGCTTTCTACCTAGTCGATACAAATTGCAGTTTGACACCTGTAAAAACTTGTTCGGTTTGAAGCAGTATTGATAAATTAAGTGATTAGAATAATGATAAAAATAAGATACTAAAAGTATATTTCCGAAACTTTGATAAAAATTTAACGAACATACGAATCAAATAGTACTAAAATACACAGCACATTCTAAAATAAAAAATCCCATACTGTAGTCAAAGATATAACTGAAAACATAACCTCTTTACTCCTTGCAAAACTAAGTTTTCCTTCATGGTCATCAGGATTTGAATGAAAAAAATAATCTGTCACGGCATACTTTAGATACGAATCACCAACAGTTTCAAGCCGTTCAAGATTTATGCCATCAGATGCATTTGAGAGCGTTAATGCCTGGAAGATTTCATAGGAATAAATAATGGTATAAAATGCGAATAATGTAAATACATTAAGAACGAATGCAAATAAATATCTGAAAAACTCAAAGAACTGTCAATTTGTATGTGTATTTTTTTGATTTTCAGATATATAAATATAAAGTATGCAAGTTACGTACATATATAAGAAAGACATGTAAAGATTAGCTTTCGTTATTTTTTTATTCTTTTATAAACAAATTAGTTTGCACATTTTGTTTATTATCACCATTATATATATTTATATCTTTTGAGGACAAAACGTCACGAATTTTATTTATACTCAACAATCATAATAAAAGGCGGGCTGAATTAATATTTCGATAAAATTAGCATGTTGGTACCAAACAAAGATGACAGAGAGCATTCTATTTAGTCAAGATTGTTGAGAAATAATACATGTAGAAGAAAGCATGGAGAAACACCATCTGGATGTTGACTGAGCGTGTCTTCCTCGAATGAGAATGTCATCCAATCCAAAACTGGGACAGCTATTCCGCGCTTCAAGTATAAAAATCAAATAAATAGAACTCTACAGAAATCGATGTGCAGTGATTAAAAGCGCAATTTCGAATCAACAAGTTGCATTTTCCTTACACAGCAAGAGTCGAAAACTTTAATATCATCAATACCTAAGAGAATAATAAATAATGTTAGTATTCTTAGTATTTCTACAACTTCATAATTTGCAAATGAAGTAACCTGAAAATCAGTTATTTTATAAAATATAGACTCATTTTCATGAGCTAAATTAATGGAGTCGTTCCCACTCATTGCATTGTTTCTTTGGGAAAATTAAAGTTATTGATGAAACAAAATATAATAAGCAACCCTTTTGTCGGAGAAAGTTGACTCTATCACTGACTCAGCAAACAGCTTTGTATCATCCACACGTGACATGCCCCCAAATAATTCTAAATCGCTTGGTGACTTTACCATTTTTTCTTCCTGTAAGACGAAAAAACAGTGCCGTTAAAAATTTACATTCTATGTTTCATTCAGAAACAACTAAATAAATTACAGCAGATAAATAAATGTTACCACGAATTTTTTTTTAGCAAACAGTAAAGGCTCAATAAATAACAAGACAATAAAAAGAAAAGTCAATTTATATCTGAAATGACTTCGTCGAAAAAAATCTCTTTCATATTTCACCTGTATACTTTCATTTTGCAATATAGTTTTAATAGGCGAAAGCACTTCAACACTGTCCAACTGAACATCACTGTCAAGCAACCATTCATTACAAATGAGTGAAGTCGATGATGTGGTATCGGTAGATCCTAAAAGTTATTCAGTTGATTGGACTAATTAAGATAAAAGAAATAAATTTGAAAGATGTAGAATCTACATCAAACAGTATTAACTCATTCTTTTCCTCCAATTTCCTAATATCAGTTATGATACTCAATTGCTTCTACAATTCTTCCCTATGCAAAAGCTTATTTTATTTAAAGGCAGCAACAGCTAGTTAAATTCCCTAATAATTAATTTGCAAAGTCCACGAATACATTTTTCGATGCAAGCTACCATTCTAAAGTAAGCTAATTTATCCCATTTCCAAACAAATCATGTACAATATTACTCGACAAAATTTCATCCACATCGTCACAAAAATCAATTAAGTCTACACATTCTTCTTGACGACTTGATTTCGACGACATGCGATCTGAATCCTCTAATTTTTCTAATGAATCGAGATAAAGTTGTATGGGCTGAAACTTATAACTGAAGATAGAAACGGATCTTCAAAACTAAATCAGAAATATTTCGTGTGTACTACTACAAAGTACATCAGTTATACATGACAGTAAATTTTAAAAATTTTCAAGTTTTTTAGAGCGTCGATTTTTGAAAGATACAGAAACCTTTTTCGTAATCGAAGATTGTTCTTTCCCATCACTTTTTGCAGTCTTACTTGTAAAGGTTGCACCAATGTGATCTGTAGTGGTTTCTGACTCCTGAGGCACTAGAAGCGGCATGTTCATATGCCAACTCATTCGTGATAAGTCTGCCATTAAACCTCGGCTATCGATCTGCGAATCTCCGCTATTTACAGACTGCAATTAAATGAGACCAATTTTTTAATAATGGTGGTTTTTTGGAGTTCTATGTTTGAAAGAAACTAATTTATTAGATCACTCAAAATTAATCATTAGCAAGGTAATCATGAATATGCTAGTGATTTCAAATACATTTTATATATTTTTATAAGCCTTAGGACTCCAAAAAACCGCGTTGTACTATACTAGCAAGCAAATAACATTTACCGCATTTCGATTAAGTCAACACAAAAATGATGAATTCCAGACAAGAGTTATCAATAATCTTTGAAAAATAATTTAAAAACTATCAAACATAGTTTTTTGGTGTCATACTAAAATATATCGCACAGGAAAAATTCAAAAAAAAGTTTCAAAACCATTCAAAATATATTGAAACAACGATTTGATGAATTCATTTTGCTACTGAACCTTAGAGAAAATGAAAGATCTTTCTCTCTCGAATCTCACTCAATTTGCCTTTTTCTAACTAGATTACTATTTTAAAAATAACAAACAAATACCAGAGGGATATTAGTTCCATTTGGTGGAGGCTCTTCTAAAACAATCAGATCATCCCATCCAGATGATCTGATATTTTCTCGCGGGGCAAACATATCTTTACTTCCTTCTGTAATATTCGTAATTAATATTTGCTCCAGTCTATGGAAATGCAGAACAAAGTATCTCCCATACCAAAAATATGATAGTAATAACTATAATAGTTGATAGTAATAACTCATCATTCAAAAACTATTATAGAGAAAAAATGAGTAGAATGATGAAATTTATATAAAGATATATAACTATTATTTTTATATACTTTTCGTAGTCCCTTAAACAAAGTTCCATTTGATTTTGTTTCTTGAATTCAACATATATTTTCAGGAGTGATTAATGTCTAAAGTTTACTTCCAAAGCGTTCGTGAACACTGTTAATAAAATCGAACAGTACAACTGCGTTTTCATCATCATCGTCAGACATATCACCATGCTGACTCAGTAGAGAGTCATTTATTATTAAACCCATGGTATCGCCCTAAAAACAATTTTTTTTACAGTGTAAAGTTTTGTAAAGCCGATAATAAGTATTCATTTACCCAAATCGCAGATGATGAATTTAAACTATGTTTGCTCACAATTCCAAAAAATTCCAACACAGCATTAAACAGAGAAAAAACTTTTGGCTAAGTAAATACTCAAAACCTCACTATTAATGAACGGGTTTAAATTAATGTGGTTTTTATCAGGAATAAAAGTAAGAAAACTAGCAACTTTTTTACAATATAATTTACAGTTAACTAACGTCATCGTCGGATCCCTTTAATTCCTTCCCATCTTCTTTTCCTGAATAAAAGTCATCTAGTCCTTTCGCAAGTTCAGGATCCCAAACTCCAATTTCAAAATTTGCCTGCAGTAAACATTGGTGAAAACTGACTGATTACAGCAAAAGGATTGAGTATAAATATAAAATTAAAATCCACCAAAATTTAAACTCGACTAAATGCGCTCGATCATTAATAATTTACAATATAAATGGCATTTCGTTAACTTTTTAATCACTGGAATAATTTATTTCTGAAAAAAGTAAGCTTTACCATCTCACTGCAGTCATTGAATGTATCGATTTTCTCGCTTTCCTCACCATTTTTTTTAATACTAAAATACCGTAAAAATTAAGTGCAAAAAAGCAGTGAATCATTTCAGCAAAAAAACTAAAGTTCGGAATTACGAAATAATGAACTATTAATACCACATTACATAATTTGAAATATAATAAAGAAAATGTGATAGATAATAGCTTGAAAACCTACTGGTTTTTTTTCAAATCACATATTTTATAAATTGATCTCGTCTCTTTAGCATCCATAGAAGTTGGATAATCCAAAGGAGGCCAACACAGATCATCAGAAGTGGTATATTTTTCACCTACTAAAGCTTCACGCATTATTGTTACGCGCAGTTCGTCTGCCAGTAATAAACAATTAATCCTAAAACACATCATTCAACGAACAACCATTATTTTTTTCATTTTATTATTTTGCAGAAGTAAGTATAGCTCAGTACCGTCGCAAAAATTGAATAAAAATCTCAAAAAGCCTTAAGTTTTATTTAAAAAATACTCATTAAAAAATGCTCGATAAAAAATAGTCAGATACTCGGTCTTCGGCATCTCAATTTCACAGTACTTGTAGGAGTTTGAAAGACAAATAAATCTATACCGATAAAGTAATGTTGGGAGAGCCGCAATAACATTCCAGAGAGATGCTGCAATGGGATGTATATCAACAAGTTCTGGCACTAAGATTTGTCCTTGAGAAATTCCACCAACTTCAAGACTTTTTTCTTCCGCAGCTCGACTTTTGGAGTGTTGCCAGTGTCGAGGCAACAAAAGATTTAAGCGACTTGCAAAAATGATATTTGATTTTTATAATAATATGGCAACCACACATTGGTATCAAAAACTTTTCTTAGTATCCAGGATGAAATTGATAGTAATTCAATTTTGAAGTCCTCAAGTTTGAATTACTATCAATTTCATCCTAGAAATTTACGTTCCATTTCTCATAATTCTACGAACTTACGCATCTTTTCCATCTCTCATTATTCATATCAAAACATTTTAATAACATGTTTTCAGTTCAAAAGGTATGATACCTTGACGTATAATCAACATCTAAAAGCGACTGCTCCTGATCATATATTGTAATGTTATACTTCTGTATAAAGTAATCATTAAATGTTGCAAATTTTTCGTCCGGAAATTGAGAGGACGGTTTGGCATCCATTATCTGGAAATTTTTGAAATATCAAAACTTAATATCTAGAATGTTTTAAAGAATTGTAAATATTTCTGCTTTGCCATCGTGTAATTATGTAATAAATTTTTAAATTATAAAATGACATCAGTTTCTTACTTCTGCAACATAATAAAAGGATGGATGTTCGTTATCTCGATACCACGGCATTACAACAGCATCTTGAAACTTTGATGCGTCAAATTTGAAATTTTTTCGCTCAGTTTCATTTGGAATACGCGGCAATTTATGGATTGACGAGACAATATTTCGTACATAATCGTAATCGAACTTAAAATCCACTTCACCATTTATGTTTCTTTCTGAAATACAATAATCATATTATTAATGCCTGACGCAAAACTTAATAATACATCAAAACATAAATAGCAAATTATGAAAGCTTTTCTCAACGATAATCTTAGAATATTAGTTGATTTAAAAATGAGGAAAATTTGCAAAGGTATTTTTGGAAGCAATCCCAACTATCGCATTCATGCACCATAGCACTATAAAACGAAACTCAAAAAAGTTTAATAAAAATGCAGTTTATTGATCATCAATTTTATAGCTGTTAGAATGAGAAATCTTACCGCGTCGAAGTGGAATAATCAAAAGATTAACAGGTGCTTTGTCAGGTGTAAAAACTAGTCCTCCTTTCACTAGCCGAAGAATAGTTTCAAACACATAATTATGAAATATTTTTAACAAGTCCAATAATGCGTCATCCATGAAAAGACGTGTTTTCAAAGCAAAAACATTCGCATGCATACGACCCTGACGTAAAAACACTGGAAATGATGGCACCTGAAACAAAACAAGAAACACCGTGGGTTAAACGTGAAAAAGCGAGTTCAAACAAGAGTGTTTAACTTGTTTAGCTTTCAAATGGTGAATTCATTGGATTTCTACATTTTTGTGGTTTGAACATATGACAACAAATTTTCGCAACTATTTTTTCAAAAAATTTGTGGTATAACACAACAACTCTTTGCTCAGAAATAATACTGGGTTAATAAGGTGACGATTTTCAAAAATTCTGAGGTAAAACTAATATCTTATAGAGATATAGAGATATAAGATATTAGTATATGAGGCTAAAAATGAAATGATTAATAACCAGTAAATACGAACTGACAAGAATAGTACAGGGAATAATACCATTTTACGCAAATTGTCTTACTTTAGGAATCTTTTTACTTGAGAGAAAACCAAAGCAAAAATCCGTATCTACTGGGTTAATAATGCGACGATTCTTTGGATTAGCCGGACCAGTTACCGCTTTAATGAGATCCATTTCCATCACATATATATAACAATATTCACCAACACGTGGAATCGTATTATGAAGTGCTTTTGCCATCTAAAAATTTAATAATGCAAAATAATATATTTCTCAGGAAAATCTTTTTTTATTAAAAAAGGCATTATTTCAGTCATAGATACTTAAAGTTGTTTAGTTCGCCTTTTTTGAACAAATAAACGCTTCACTCAAAAATGAGCATGAGTACTTTCTGAACTGCAATGATTGTAAAAAAGAAACTATTTTATTTGAACAGAAGCCATTAAAAAAAAAAAATCTTTTACCTTCTTGTCATACAACTGCCTTCGTCGAGCTGACCCAACTTTATAATTCATATTTGGAATAAACTCGTCAGGGTCGTCATCGAGAGCTGTTAGTGTGACAGTATCTTTACCAAATGGAAGCAAATTATCATTTAGCTCTTTCCGTTTATGTAATATTTTGCAAGCCTAAAACCATTAAAACTTTGCAAAAACAAACAAACAATTTGTGGAAAGAAATATGAAAAATAACCAGATTACTTATTTTGAAGAAAACACCACATGACCCATGTTGTTCCCCAATATCATCTGTTATGATTAAAATATAATAACCAGAATGACTCATGTCTAAATTTGTCAACAGAAATGACAAATTAAAGGTAAGCCATCCTAGTGAGTCCAAATACCGTCCTTGACTTACTTCCAGAGCCACAGCCATTTGAGCAAGTTTTTTACTTTTCATTGGTTTTTTTAATTTAATGGTTTCTTTGACTGGTGAATTGATAGGAAGAACCAATTCTGCGCTATACATAAGGTGACCATTTACCTAAATATTGTTTTTCAACACCTGATAATATGAACCATTCATTTTTGCATGAGAATCTAAAAAAATTTATTTCTTAACAAAGTAGAGAGATTTGGAAAGCATGATGACTGGTTTCTAGTATTCATAGAGCATACTTTTTCATAGTTTCGTGAGTCATTAAACATATATATAATATATAAAAAAATATAAATATATATAATCAATCAATCAATATATATATATAATCAATCAATACATATACATATATATATATGTATATATATTCCTATTATATTGCATTGAAATCGTAAAATCAACTGAATTGTCTGTATATATTCAGGTTATTTACAATTTCTGGTATGATCGTATTCCGAGGTACTAAACGAGTAAACACGTCGCTAGGAAGCTTCGCACAATACCTATAAAAAGACTTCATTTATGAAATTCACAAGCATGCTGAAGAAAAACATCCATGATTACCGCAACTATCTAATAACATACCTCAATTTTCAACTTGTACTAATTATAAGATATAACCGACCTGTTAACCAAGCTTATAGCTGAATAAAGAGTAACTTGTGCTCCAGTAGACTCAACAACATAGGGAGCAATAACATCTTCCGTCAAATCGAATATTATATCCGGTGGATTGTGCACAGTACGATACCGTTTTAGCAACATCTTACAATCAAACGTAAAATCAACAACTGAGGATAAAAGTGGAGAGTAGCAGACTACAGATTATGAATTACTCGGCTTTAGAAAATGTTGAAAACTAATAAAATCTAAGCTTCGAAATCGATAAAAAAATAAAAGATGAACTTTTTCGATCTCCAAAAAATCTTTCAAATCACGACAGCAAAGCTCACGATCACTTTTCTCCACCAGTAGAAAATATTTCGCTCCCTCCTTCCTTGCTCTTCCTTTTGACTACAAGTAGATTTCTAATATTAAGAAAAATTAAAATACTTCTACAGCGATTCTAAAACGAACTAAAACTTTTGCTACTAAAAATGCAAGAATCAGTTTGCAACACCTGTCTTGAGAATATTTTTATATGTTAGTTAATAAAAATGAACTTTGAAAATAGAAGTCTTTGCAGTGATCCAATCTTTTTTAACTTTTAATTTGAAATTGATACAATGATATGCAAAAAATTTCTAACATATGATTCAATGAAACGAAAATCAATATTTCATAAAAGGGAATTATCTTGGTACCTGTACATAAGCCCGATAATCCTTGGGCCGATCAAAACGGATAACCACATTACAATGCCTGACATCAATACCTTCTTCTAGAACACTGGTTGCAATAAGCAAATTAAGATTACTTTGCCGAAATTTGCGTAAAACCTAGAATACAAAAGAGTTGAAAAACAAGCAGCAAGAAAATGAAATGTGCATAAAAAGTCATAACACATTCTAAGCTTAATGAAATTGTTCACGCATGATCTCAATCAGATACACCAACCACACAATCGAATTTTCAGTGTACACGATTTGCTTTTATAGTTGAACTTGGCGATAGTAATTCGAAAGACAAATCAATACCTTTGGAGAAATAAAATATATAAATGTTTTTACTAAACATAGAAAGCTACATCAATAAAAATTATATACCATTTCCTGTCTTCTATGTAGTGCCATCTTTTCCTCTTCACCAATATTGCAGCTATTATAACCAATAATAAAGTCTGGAACCAAATAACCGAAACTTTCATTGTCCCATCTTGAAAGCGCTCTTATAAGAGTCTGAAAACTCGTAGAAGTAGTACCTCAATCGAAAGCAGATAACAATAAACTGATATTGTTGACTAAAGTTGAACAAGTCATACATTCAATACATAAGCCACGTAACGCTGCTCCACGAAAATTAAGCCACAGAAATTACGATCCACCTCTCCTTCAGTTTTCGATGGATTCAAGCATTTCAAAATTTCTAACATTCTAGTCAAACGATTCGGTATCAAAGGTTTCATATCGTCAAAGGATCGAACTCGAGTAACTTCGCTGTTCAATAAATGCCTGATAAAATTCATTGTGGTGCAACCCATTTGCAAGAAAAGTACTTGCTCCGCAGATAAAAAACGTTGGTTTGAAAGTTTTTTTAATTGTCTTTGGAATAACTGAAAAAAAAAATCAATCTTAAATATCAACTTATTCAACTTTGCAATTAAAATGGACATAATGGAGATAGATAAAAAAGTAGTAAATAAAAAAATATTGGCGTAGCTTTCAAGTACATTTCAAATTATTTAAAACCATTAAAACCTCCAAAAACATTACAGACGACTATTAAATATTTGAAATAAATATTCCAAATACCTGACAAACTTTCCACGCACACCATGGTCCCAGCTGTTCTAGAACTGATCTGGTTCTACTGACTGCTTGAAGTACTGGTTTCCGCGGATCTACATCGAAATCAGGATGAAAATGAGTGCATCTCACACAGAAATCTCGTAACGTTTCCTAAATTTAGACACTTCGAATGAGAAGTTAAAAAGGTTTTAAAAAATTCAAAATTTGAAATTTTAATGTTGACATTCTTTTAATAAATCTTACAACTTCTGCTTTACAGACCAGACACAATGGACACTGATATTGAAAATTAAACTTAAAAAGATTTCAAATTTTATTGGGCGAAAAAAAATCCATTGTTAGGATAATTCGCAAATCTGTTTTGTGTATTCAAAATTTATAGGTCTTTCAGAATTACTACTCTTTCCAATGTTAATATAGCTTTTTCTAATAATTCAACTGAAAATCGGAATGGATAAAATAAAATATATACTTACTAAAGCATGGACAACTTTTTTGTTGGTTTTAGATGAACAACAGAAAAAATCATGACACAATATAACGTATTCTTTGGGCTTAGCACCATATTTTGAAATCTAAATGCAACAGTATTAAATGAATCCATAAATTTCAAAGCCAATAAGGTGCAATTGTAAGTGGAATAGATTGCTCTCAAAATGAAAAACCTAAATTATTTTTTAAGACACTGTTTCATTAATGATTACACAATTTTTAGCCAGAATAGCTCTAACAGATGAAGTCTAATTTTACATAGAGTAATTACTGCTTTAAATCTCAGAAATTAAAGAAATATACAGTAACTACCGAGCTATATACTCAGAAAAAATATGAGTTATTTATGTTATACTTTTTTTGTCAAAATAGTGTATTTTAAATAAAAACTGAAAACAATATGTTTTCACAATTTGCTGCCAAAGAAGACAAAACCAACCGATACTAGATCACTCGCTGTTTCAATGGAGCTGTACATTATCTTTTCCAATTTTTCCAACAATTTCTCCAAACTATTCGGTGGAATCTTACTATTGATAAGAGATGCAGTGAGGCCAAGAACTCGAGGCTGACTTTCTACAAATTCAAAGTTTGTAGCATAATAAGCACAAGCATAAAATAATTTTTTCTGTATCAAGCATTAACATAAAGTGATTATAATAAGTAACCTGGAATTCCATCTTCTGCTTTACTTTATTTTATGCAAAATATATCGACAAAGTACTATTTTGTAATTACCGGATAAAGGCATATTTTGTAAACTACAACAATTCCAAATATAAACACTAATACCTCGATCTACTCGTTCATAAAACCTCATAATTAATCGGAATGGATGTCGGCTACCTAAGGCATGATGGCATTCATCAAATATAATAAGCGCAGCACGTGACAAAGTCAAAAAACCATGATTGAGTAAATCCAAAAATATTTGAGCCGTTAGTACTACGACCTATGAAAAAACAAAAATTTTACTTTGTACGCAATTACAAGTTCCCAAGTTGTTTTGAAAAAAAAAAATACTCCTTTGATTCCGTGATCTATTTTTTTCTAGGTACAACTAAATGGAATTCGAATATATGCAAAAATTACTCAAACTAACCTCATTAAGAGCAATAAATGTATTAAATTTCGACAAATCTGAGCAGATATCTTGATTCATTTGTCCGTGCAATCTGCCCACATTGAATGCAGTATGATATTTGATGTGTGCTGCCTGCTGTTCTACTAGAGAAACTGGAAAAAAAAATCATTTACATTAAGGTTTTCCTAATTCAATAAGTGTATATTGTGTTTTTTTTTTCACAAAAAGAGCATGTTGTTAGCAAACACTATAAATTATATGTGACCGATTTCTGATGGAACAAAAGACTTTCGGAACAAATATTGTACAGCTCACCTTTATCAACTAAAAAGAAAGCCCTTTTACCACCATTATTCCAAGGTACTACAAGTTTAGCCGTATACTCCTTGATTAATAAAACAGCGATGAAAGTTTTGCCGCAACCAGTTCCAAGTGGTACAATAATATTACTTTTGCATGCTTTGTCCAATAACTCAACCTTGAATTGTTAAGAAAAATATGAATCATACTTCTATAATTTTTTATCACACAAAGTAACGTGGTACTGAACTAAAAACAACACTATTGCCGATAATATTAGACATTATGAAACAAGGAAATCTGATTTATGAGACGCGAGAGAAAAGCATCGTCAAATTTTCGAAAAAAAGAGCTTTGTATACCAAGACGTTTACCACCAAACCTAATGCTTATTACATAGCACAACTAACACGATCACAAAATAAAAATACCTGATAATCTCGAGGAGTGAAGAAATTTTTCTGAACATCACTCACACGTCCCATTATGCCCTAAAATATTTTTATTTAATTTTGTTCTTTAAAGCAGTGAAGTGACGCTTGACGAATCATACATAAAGCACAAAGTCAAAAGGAAATAATTTTGAAAAACATAACGCTAAGCATAACATGACAATCAAGCACAGGTAAAGATATACTTACACAAGGATCACAATTCAATTACATGTTTAGAAGTTTTTTTAAAATGAGCGAAAAATTGACTTTCCCGACTCAACTAATTCCAAATATTTGATGAAAAGGAAAATTATAGAACAAGAATTAATATATAAAGGTTATGCAATAATTCTTCAAAAGCTTCAAATAAAAAGTTGCGACAAGTCATGAACTTTTTTAGTTTATAATATGTCAACAAGCAAGAGACTTCACAGTTATAATCGAAGAGTGCACGTTGATGACCCTTTGAACCAAAAGAAAGTCCAACAAAATTCCTTGAGTAAAATAAAATTTATGTAAAATATATTAAACAAGATCTTGATAACTCCTTCTCAATTTATCCTTGTAGAAATAATCTGGTCGTTCATCCCACAAACCAAGTTTCCGTTCATCCCTTAATTCATCCTGTTTGTAATAATTATGTTTCTGCAGCAAATATTTGATTCTTTTTTGCAGATCATACCATCTTCTTGGTGAATTAATTTGCATCTTATCTTTATACAAATTCCGGAAATGAATCAGTTTTATTAGTTCGTTGGCACGATGCTGACCAGGAAAACCACGAAGCCATGCCGGTACATGGTATTGCAACTGAGCGGGATGAATGCTACCGTCACCGAGTAAGTCAATGTAATCATTTTCACCAAACCTCAAAGTAAGACTCAGATCAACACTTGGAGAAAAATTTTACTCATGGATACATTCATTACTTCCCATTCTGTAACGAGAAGCCTGAGTTTAATTTGTGATGAAAGCCCGAAGAATTATTACCTCGCTTGTGTTCTAGACCAATTATCGCGTATTTTGTAATCGCGTTTGTAAACCGGAACTTTACAGTTGGGTAATCGCGGAAGTGAGTCGATACCTGGTTGATGATACCGATATCGATATCCAGCATCCGTAACACCATGCATTTTCTCCTCTGGATCGTCTACAACGCGTGGAACACCTGACCGATCATGAAAGCGACGTATAAAAGATAATGTTGCTTGTAACTGATGCCTCCACATAAATTTTTGAACATGATGCTGCATATCCCTAATCCTATCAAATCAAAGAGGCCAAAAAATCTATCTGAAAAATTGCGCTTCTCTGTGATTACATAAAAGAAACATAACTACATATGAATTTGAGTGACGTAATATACTTAGCGACTTACTAACGAATGCAAATTTCATTATAAATGATAAAAAGTAATACGACAAGATCATATCAAATTGTGCTGTTATAATATATATAGTCTTACACAGTTTGCTTGAGAAGAAGTAAAAATTTTTAGTTGCTAGGGAAAATGTTTGGTGCAAAATTTCTGATGTGGTGTTACGCTAATCTGTGGCATTCGAGCGTCTATACTTCTGTGTTTGCTTTATTTTGTGCATTCCCTTATTTGTTAATTACGTGCTACGTAGACTTGCATATGCGCAAACTGTCTGTAAATCTTCTTTTGTATGCCTAACACTTTTGTTTATATTTTGTGAACAACTAAGTATTCAATCGCATGCGTAATACTAATTTCATTTCTCGAAATCTTTAAACTTTTCATTGCTTTTGTAAACTGCCACTTTTAGTTTTCAGAATTCGACAGTTTTTTAGATGTCAATGCACCTTTGCATTCTTTTCAAACTATTTCAGAATTGAATGACGTTACAGTGTAGTTATTATATTTTTGAGAAGACTCGATCTTTCCAGGTCGATTTAAGTGATGTCAGTGAAAAGATTGGTTCCACGTTTGAAGCTTAATTATCGACTGGCACCGGGGATTATGCGGTTTTCATCTGCACGACTTTATAGAAAACGTGGTGCATTTGCAAAAAAGTCAACTACAATTAAGAAGAAAAAAGTAGTAAAAGCGAAAGTAAAGTATGTAGTAAAACCAATTGGAGGTGACAAGAATGGCAAAGAACGAAAAGTCCTAACTATTAAAGGGGTGAATTAATTATGGCTCTGTGTACTTATTGTCTTCCGAAAAAGTACCTTCTGTGTCTATTAATCTAATCAAGTAGCTCCATTTATTTAAGTTACCTCATTCATAACATTAGTCATTGTTTTTTGCTACGAATGTATCCTAGTGCTCAGATGAGCACAACATTCATTTAGACTGAGTTTTTAAAAAAGATAGACGAAGAATCTGCTACGAAATTTTTTAGAAGTATATTAATGAATCAAAACGTAGTTTTCAACTATAAAAGTTTTAGCCAAAATATCTGAAAGAAAACTCAAATGCGAAACGCCAGAAACGACCATCGAAAAGAGTACCCCTGCGAACATCTATCACTCCTGGCACAATTTTGATAATACTGGCTGGACGACATAAAGGCAAACGTGTTGTTTTCTTAAAGCAATTGAGAAAATCAGGCCTCTTGCTTGTTACAGGTGCTAATTTAATTATATGTGTATTCTTATTAATTCATTACATGGTCTTAGAAGCTTTTTATTCGCACCAGTTTTTTTTGACAAGGGTCAGTTAGTCATCACCAAAGCTAAATAAAGTGAAACATTATTGTGGAACACTGTATCACTGTATCACTCTTCATAACTTTAATACAAACCGTTTCATCTTGATCTGTTTTCACCCATGTTAATGTTGAAACTCTTATCGAATTCTAGGTAATTTAATCTTTATGATCATCGGAATATCAAGTTTGCTTTCTTGTATTGTTTCAGGACCACTGAAGCTGAATTCGATGCCACTGCGACGCATAGCTCAAGCTTTTGTGATTGCGACGAAAACGAAAATTGATATATCAATGCTCAAAGTTCCTAAACATATCAATGATGCTTATTTTAGAAGAGTAAATCCGAAAAAAGCACTGAAAAAAGGAGATGCGAATATTTTTGCGCAAGGAACAACTGTAAGTCTCTGTATTTTCTCTTACAACTAAATATGGCGGATTTTTGGTGACTACTTTATTGTATTAGATTACTTTTTCCGAATTCACATTGGTAATTTCCTTCTTTTGATCAACAATAGCCTGCAAGCACTTCAGAAAAACTTCAGGCTCTATTTGTATGCATAATGACTTGTGAAGTTTTCTTTGCAGGAATATAAAGTAACCGATCAAAGAAAAGCAGACCAGAAAAGTGTAGATAATGCAATTCTGGAAGCTATACGGAAAAGTCCGGATAAGAAATATCTCTTTGGATATCTGGGTTCTAAATTTGCATTGGGAAAAAATCAGTTTCCTCATCAAATGCTGTTTTAAATTTTTGATATCAAAAACTTGTCGTTGTTATTATTATGCAAAGAAATAAAAATTCGTAAATATCTTTTTTTTTTCCCAAACAAAAAACATAAGGATGTTATAAAACCACTGTGAACTATCTGCTTTCATCAAGAAGAAATTGGCAGTTTGTGGAGTGAAGCAAATTCTTCAAGGTCAGTTGTACTTGTTATTTGTGGTCTTAGTTTTCTGTTATTATTTGTACAGTATCATGAAGTCGTCAGCTTTTTATCTTTAAAAATGCACAAGTAAAATATCTTTTTGGGGTCAAGGCTCCGAATTTTTGTGGAATGTTGACGTGGCAAAATGCTTGGCTACCTTATACATTCTAAATTGGTATGCATTAGATTTTAAAGATCGTGGTTCCAATACCTGATAACTTGTAACTTTGCTGGTCATTTCCTAAACGCATTGCTTTTTGCGTCTGAAATGATGAATTCCCATATTATGGTGAGCAGTGTGTGGTGTTATGATCTTTGTTCCCCCTCATCAATTAAAAGTCAGATATTATTAGACGAGCAGTGGTTTTTTAAATGCTGTGTTGTTTACGAAGTTAACATTTTCATGTAAATTTTGATGGGATCACATTCACAAGGAAAGTTCAGTGATCGAGATTCGGTTTCAGAAGCAGCATCAATAGTGGTTTTTTTGAAGAACAGTCGATAATTTGAAGTAATTCATGGAGGGCAGTTACCATAAGAGAATGTCAATCTTGCCTCAGGAAATAATTCTTCTGTGATTAAGCCTTCATCTTCTGCAGAGGACTGGGATTTAACAGACTGAAGTTCACGTCATTATGTATTAAAGCTAACTTCAAGTAGAAGCAAAGTATATTGGGGAACAAATTTTAAGATAGCATTTGATGGTGCAATATTCAGTTTTTTTTCAATTATATATTAGAATATCTGGTGGTAGTCATTTTGGGGTTTTGTTATTCTTTCAACAACATCCTTTCAAGTTTAATGTATCACTTTCATTTTGAATAAAATTCTTAATTCCTAGGTTTTCAGGTATCAATCTGCTGTTTGAGGAGATTAAATAATCTTACTATTTCTGATTGTTTTTGACCAGCAGGTGGGATCACTTTCAGCACTCTGAAATTAGAGCGATAATTTTCATAAGTAACCGAGTGGATCTGTAACTGAACCTTCTATAAGTATATCTGCTACACTTTTTATAGCATTTTTAGAAATAATAACATGGGAAGGTTGAATAACAACAGCGGTTGTAAATGGAATATTAATAAACTCAAATTCAGCGTCACTAACGCTCTTAGCTTGACTGCAAAGATTAAAATGGAGTGAGGTGGAAAAAGAATATGTTTGCTAACTTGATATTTTTAGGTTGAACTGAGGTTGACAAGTTCATTAAAGCTGTGGACTCTGAAAACTTCATGAAGGAATGCAGGTTTTTAAAGACAGCAAAAAGCCAATTATCTCTCATTTAATTGATTCAAACTGCATTTAATTATGCCTGGTTTTCCGAATATTCTATAAACAGGATTTATTGAAGGGTTGGGATTATTACAGTCAAAAAAAAGTTATAAAAATGAAGGACTTACCACTCGGACTCTTTCCATGCCTAGAAATGTGAACTTTAAATACAAGTGAACTGATTAAATAATTCAAGTACTATTGAATTCACTATGTTTTTTTTAGAAAATGTACATTTGTCTGACTGTTAAATAAATTTCTAGTCTTTCCATTCATTGTGAAGGATTTGGAGCAGTGGTAGTAAAGCAGGTCATATGCTGTAAGTCAGTCGTCATCTGTTCACAAGTATCTTCCGGAAAACGTTTACATATTCATATTTCCCATCTAGCAATATTTTTGATTGAGTCATTTTTTCAACGTCAGCAGTATAGTCAGTGAGCATTACTCATGATGACTTCAATATGTGAATCGAATTTACATAATGTAAATGATCCTCACACGGGTTGTGTTAAGTCACAGGCGATGTTTTTAGGGAATTGAATACTGACTGTAATTTCAACGTCAGCTGACGCGAGTTTGGCGAAATTACATGCTAGTTTTCCAATTGTGGTATGCATGGTTGATGTAGCAGTCATCTCTGTGATGGCACCTATTTCTTGTAAGACGAAAAGCGGAAGATAGATATTTGAGTGAATTACTCAACATAATTTTTTAAAGACTTTCTGGCACAATCAGATTTGAACTAATTTCACAAAGATTTCAAAATTCTTGGAGAACAGCAAGTGCGGAAAAGTTTTGGAAATATTCATAGATTTTTCCAAAATAAAAGTTTAGACGACATAAAAGTAAAAATCCACTTTGCGGTTCCGACCGAGCAGTGATGCGCATTGCTATTAAAATGCTGAAATTTCTGCAAAAACATGAGAACGAAAATTTCTGACATTAAATAAGATTTAGGACAGATTAAAATTGATGAGTTTTAGATATTTATTTCGGCCAGTAATTTTTTGGTGATGCCAGTTTATTCTTCAATGTAACAAATATACATAATGCAAGTTAAGAGTACTGAGTTGATTGTTGTCATCTATCTATTCCATCATAAAGTGGCAAGAGTAGTCAATTTCATTTGCAGTCAGAACAGGTTGAAGGAAGACTGTTTGAATCTGTCAGCAATAACATTTTCTCATTTTTCGCTCACTCTTTGTTAGCTTATTAAGCAAAATAAGTGCCACCATTTTTGATTTTGTGGACCATTTCGGTTTCTCATTTGCCATCTATCTATATCTTTGCGATTAAGATCGACAATGATCATTTCCTGCTGTTATTATTGATAGTGTTCTTTAGACTTTGAAAAAAAAATTGGAAAGTCTTGAAACACTTTCAACTCGGACTTTATGATATTTTAAACTAATGCTTGTGCACGAATTCCACTAGTAATATTACTAAAAATGGTATAAAATTGTTGCTGCTAAAAGCTTTTCTTATGTAAACATATTTTCCACAGCCTGTAAATTGCATAGCGATATCTTAAATTTCTTCTAGACTACATCTGCTGCGAAAATTTTGAGTGATTTTACTCTATATTGTCATTTCGATCTTTGTATATTAGTAATTCCTTAGTATTTTTGTAAGACGTTTGTTCTTGCTTTTTTAGATTACACATTACTCTTTCCAGCATTGTACTGTAGATGCCACGCTACTTATTCTATTACGACAGTAAACAGTTCTATAGTACCATATCTTGACGAGAATATTTTATGAATGATAATTTAATTGTGGTTCTGTTTGATATTTTCCGAATTTCCGTACTCTCTTCTAAAAAAGCATTGAATTTGGCATTTGTATGTCACTCTTCTGGGGGTTTCTAGCTTCCCTTTTTTCATTTTTGCTTAATATTCTCGTGGCACGTTTTCTAGGTGCCGCATTTGCACCGGGATCATCATGCATTCTCCTATAGACTTTCGGCTGCAGGGGCACAAACCGGTTTTTAAGGCTTTTTCAGTCATTCACCTTTACAATCAAAACTAATTCACTTCGTCTCTCCCAAAAAAATCAAACAAAATTCGATCAAACTCTGGGCAATTTTTTAATATTAATATAAATTTTCTTTTTTTTATCACCTGAAAAAAAACGCATTACCATTTTTTCAGTTTCTACAACCTAACCTTGTCTCTGTTTCATAAATCGCTTTCTGCGAATTTTCGCAAAAATTTTTACTAAAGTTTGCTTATTTTCGCATGCAATTATTCACTGCACTTGCTTTGAAGCTAGAGGTTATTAGTTAGTTTGAAAATCGTTTATAAGTGAGTTGATTTTCTGTTATTTCTCTATGTATTCTTGATCAGTACTTATTCAACACTAGTTTTTGAAAATGAAATAATACAGTTTAAAATAAAATTAATGATTTGAACTGCCTGATCACGTATGAATAACTCATAAAATTCAAACTATCTGCTTTTGTCTTGTTAGTTTAATCTAATAGTACCCACTCATTGAAGATAATAATAATTGCTACAAATTCCAAAGTAGGAAACATTATCAATTGTATACTTAATTTAATTATTTTTGCCATTACCATCTTTTTATTTCCTCTCATTGGCAGTGTAATCCTTCAATGTTTATTACATATTTTGATAGCTTCACTTCATTATCAAATTTATGCTTGCTTCGTTAACTTTCCTACTTTTTATTTGCCAAGTCTTTGTGATGATTACGTTTATGAAAGTCGCCTCATTGCAGCTATCGGAGTGATAAAATCATGGTTGCATGTTTTGACAACAAAGTATTTTATTGCTTGCTTTAATCTGCCTCAAAATATTCTCGTATTACTTTCACTTATTGCCATTTTTGTTCTGGTTTTATATTTGACCCTCCTTCGATATTACCATGCATGCTCACTAACTTTTATCCACACAAACCGAATCATTCCTCACCTACGGGCATTGCACATGGAAAAAATGGAACACTTCTAATCCATATTCTTTCTTATGCTTCTGCTTTTGCTGCTTGCATTTGAATATTCGGGTTCTTTACTTTGTGAAGTTATATCTCTCTGACTTGCTTTCAATTTGTATCAAAGGGTAAAAGCGATATTGATTGTGATTCATTCAAATTCCCATTAGTTCGCAGCTTAACAAGAGTGAATTAAATTTTGTTCAATTTTAGTCTTTTCATTTAAAATTTTGGCAAGTTAAGGCCACTAACCAATTTGCAATCTGACTATGAGATGGAATAATGATCATATTAGACTTTATTGATTATTACTGAGGTAAATTTCGATCAGGCGAAACTGCGTTACTTTCGAATTTCGATCACTTGAAAAATTTCAGTTTTAATGTCATTTTTCTTCGCAAACTTCCAATTTCTGATTCAGTTTTTCATTTTGATATCAGTGGAATTGTCGTTTTAATGAAGCAAATTAAAGATGCTTCTCACAAAAATACACTCTACTTGTCATTTCTATACATTCTATATTTTTGCTTCTCTCAAAAAACGCTGAAAGTAATTTTGCTTTCTTAATTATGCAAGCAAATACAAAAATAGATGCGCACCTCTAAAAGTAAGTATAGCAATTATTGTAAATACTCACCGTTTCTCATTGCATACTGTTAACCTTTCATGGCAAGACTGAAATCCATTACTCATTAAATATGGTGATTATCATTTTGCAAATATATAATGTCCTTTTCACATTTTTTCACTGTTTTTGTAAATACTATGCAAACAAGTCATTCTCTGTCAGATGCAAGCCTTATTATTATCATTATTTTTTGCCTTCAAATCGAACTCTCTTCCACTAATTTTCATTTTTTGTCTTCTTGTAGACTGTTCAAACATTTTTGCTACTAATGATACTGTGGGCTAAGTTACATGTGCAGTTGTTTATTTTTATAGAATCAGAGAATTCTTACTTGTGCAAATATTTTGCAGTCATTTCATTTGTTCTTTGGTCGAGAAGTTTAAACGTATAACGCTTCTTGGCACTTTGATTTATCAAGTTTGCACTTTTTAATTCCAAATTATGTGGATATTGCATTTCGGGCAGGTCATACTTTGATTCGTTTGATCATTTTACTGACAAAGAAACAATGAGCGGTGCAGTGATGTGCACAGAAATCAGTGCAGTATCACGTTTTCTATTGACGCCCTTAATTCTCGCACATGATAGAGTGATATTGAATTAGAAATGCTTAGGCCGTCGTCCATCTTATGCAAAGGAGGAAAGAAGGGAAATAATAATTGTCTGAACTTGCTGCTCTGTGAAGAAAACTTCTCGGACAGAAGCAGAGCAGTTTGATGAGAATTCAGTAGTACGTTGAAAATGAGCAGTTCTTTCAACTCTTGAAAAACCAATAATTGTTGCGCGAATTTTTCCTCACTACGGCAATTAACTTTCGATGATATTACCCAAAACGGAAGACTGAAATGTTCCTTTGAAAACAGCACTTCTGCACAAACTATTTGCATGCACGCAAATGACAGCAGTCTTCACTGTGGTCCTTCCTGCTGTTGGCTATTTCCTGGAAAACTCCCTGACCATTTACTACCTCCTCCCGCGATTTCTCCATTATTTTCTCGTCTCATTAGCACTCTCTGCTTGACATTTCTCAGCATGTATCACCCAAATTCCTGCTCTCAAATCACTTTCACATCGTTTGGAGTGAAACTTCTCAAACAATGACGAAAGTCTTCCGTTTGTTTTCGAGCGGCGACAACCTATGCCATCTCACTCTTCCTCTTCCTTTCATCTCATGTTGTAATAATATTGTAAATTTTGTTAATTTCCTCTTGCTTTACTTCCTTGAAAAAGTTTTCTATCGTGTTGACCTTTGACTCTATCTAATTCTATGCAACTTTTAAAAAAGCATGAGTTTTGCTTTCTTACTCACTGTCATATCGGGAAAGACAAATTTCACAATTTATAAGTGGAAAAAAGTTACATTACCTTTGACCATTTGGAGACCTGTTATCGTTTTTCTATTTTTTTACTCGAAAAGCTGGTTGCCCACTACCACTAAAGCGTTGGGAACTCACTCAATATCATTATAAATGTAAATATAAATAAATATCAAATCGATTCAAATCAGTATCGCACGGAGGTTATTCTTCTTTTCTTCATTATTGATTCAGGCGCTGATCGTTTTCTGGCATCCTCGCTGCAATCGCCCCGCGCTCAGTTCTACTGTGCCGATCTCCGCTGCTTCTGCCTCGTCGAATCCATGGCACTGATTTAATGAGAGGCTTTCGAGCGTCTTCTTGAGAACTATCGATTGAATGTATGCCTCGACGTGGTCAGGTGTACTGATCTCCTTCGCATAGCGTTTCTGGAAGTTCGTCATCATACGAATTATTTTGGTCCTGCACTTCATCTCTGTCCCAAGCTTATTAGCAAATAGGTCATATTTTCGCTTCTTCTCAGTCTCGACTGTTATCAACCTGTCCTGACTAGTGATACCAACCTCTATTAGCATTAATTCACGTCGCTTCTTATCGTGTATCATGATATCCGGTCTATCCGCTTTTATTCTGATTGCAGTTCTCACTCGCGTATCGACTTTGATCTCAACATTCTCATTCGCGACGACTCCTGAACAGAATGGCTTCGCAAGCGCAGGAATGCTTTCAGACGATACTTTTTGCAGAGTTCCAAGTGGATGCAGCATAGGACCTCATTATGTCTATTAGTATAGTCGTGATGTAACATTTTTTCGCACTGCATTGCTAGATGGTCTACTGTCTTCACACGTTTCCTAATCCTCAGAAACCTGCTGATCCATTTTAAGTCTTTCAATGCCCTTAATCAGGTATCCGTGATTAACTGAGTCGAATGCTTTTTTAGTTTCATACAAATAGTATAAAGTTGGTTTTTATGCTCTTTGCAAACCACCAGGTTCATGAGTGCTTGCTCTTTCGCACCTTAAACCTGACCACCAGTTTCCAGTTGATTGTCTGCAAATAGTTCCCTCGTGAATATATTTAAATGCATGACCTGTGCCACAATTTCGTTTTTAACTTATAGAGGTTCGAAAAAACTTTTATAGAGAAAACAATTAGGCCTATAGCCGATTTTTCTGCTAAATACCCATAGCTGATTGTTTTCCAGCTTCAAGTATTTCAGCAGCCAAGAGCCGCTTTATGAGGGTTTTGTGGAAATTCAACAAGCTTACCTTCTTTTCTATGCTTGCCTTCCACCCCGATGGCTTCTGCTCTGGCCTCATTATGACTTCACAACATTGTTGAAATGTAATTGATTTGGGGAGATTCTGCGTGGGATATTCACTCGCCGCTTGGTTCACCGCTCCAAGTCTAACGCTTTCCAATGTTATTATCACGTCCACTTAGTCTGGTTTATCTCATGTCCCTCTGCTTCTTGAATCAGCACTAGATAAACTTTAGACTCGTGTAACGTGTTTTGCTCAAAGTGCGTATCTTGTGCTTTGACACGCTTCTTGAGTCTTTCAAGAACCGTTTCTGGGAGCATCTGCAATACCTGTGATCACAGCATTTGCTTCTTTCTTCAGTTTTTGGGAGCTAATCGCACACATGTTTCCAGTTTTTTGTACAAGTATCAAATTCTTGACTTAGTTTTATCAGTCTACTCTATGACTTATTTATTCATTCTTTCATCAACATTATGGTGAAAAGTTACAAAGAATTAATTGACAGTAGTTTATCCGCATGAGAAGAAGTAAGATGTAGAAAACATCTATCATGTAATAATTTTTTCTAATAGTATTTTTATGATAAACAACTCTTTATGTTCACTGAAATCATTACATGATAGCTTTGTCTACCATTCTCAAGATTTGTATTCTGATTTTCTCTTGCGATGTTCAACGCAACTTAATATTCTCCTCACACCTTAGAGCTTTTTCAATAAATGGTTTTTAAACAAATCCATACTTTATCTAGTCAATAAAAGAAGCAACTTGCACAATGTACACAATTGCATTGACTTTGTATAATTTGATGAAAAAGTGTTACTAGGGAAAGTGCTACGGCATGAAAAGTCAATCAGTAACTTCATTTTTTCTATCTGAAAAATAAAACATAAATTAAAAACTTATTCAAACCTGAAAAAGAGGGAAATCCGTGTATTTATGGAAAGCCACGCGTGTTCATCATATGACACACAAAATGACGAGGACGATCACGTCTTACGTCAGCTATCTCTGGAAACCAATGAGATTGAAGGAAATATTATCATGGATAACGACGATGAACAGCTTGTTTGTGGATATGGAAGGTTTGTTGTACATGTCTCACGAGTCTTGGATTTTTATAGTTTTTAAGTTTCAAAATCCACTGATTTGAAATAAAACTTTTTGTTATTAAAAGGGTTCTGAATGTTCTGACGTGTCTTTCTGTTCGTTCATGCTAATCTTACGTCTCTTTGATTTGTTTTTGGAGAATTGATATCAAAAAGATGGCCTGAAAGGTTCCGTAACTTGTATTACAAATTTCATTTATTACCAAAGTATTTTAATCGCTAATTATTTTGAACAGCCAGTTTTGAATAAATAGATATCTTGTATTGCTAGATTTCAAGCAAACTTATATTCCGATTACTTTCAAAATAACGTGGTAGTAATAACATTTGAAAAGTAAAAGCAAATTGGATACTGATTCAAAACACAAGACCGAATATCTCTTACCTAAAGCACAATTTCTTAAGGATACTTTTCAGGTCGCAAAGAAATACAATTAAGCTTTCTACACATGTTATACTTTTTGAACAGTGTAAAATGTGAAACTTTTGAAATATAAATTCAGATGCACACCAGAGTGGCTGCAAAAATATCACAGTGCTAAATGGCTAATAGTTATGCTTGGAATCTGTGCATTTATCCAAAGTTTTGTTGTCAACAGTATATTCCCTGTAGGTTTATCAACACTTGAAAAAAGATTTCACATGACAAGGTAAAATTATCTCCAGTTGTTAGTATTAAACCGCTTAATGGCACATTTATTTTTTTGATGGTCAGTAATAAGTGAAGATTTAATTCCATGAAGTATATTATTTTATTACTAGGACATTTTCGCTCTTCTAAGTTTGAATTTATGAATTTATGAAGCAGTTGTGTTCATTTGCTCTTTAATTTTTGCAGTACTCAAACGGGAATCATATCGAGTTGGTATGATTTTGCAGTACTGATAGCTGTATTTCCAGTATGTCACTGGGGTAATACAGGTATGCATCGTTGCACTCGTGTATAGTTTCATTAAAATTTGTATGTAACTATAATAATGTAATGTTTGAACATTTTTAGCAATAACAATATTAATTCAAACACTGATCACAGATAACAGCTTAGTTAAGTGAAATTAGCAGCAAAAAAAATCAGGATTGTGATTAAATACTATGATGGCAGTTTGATTCCAAAAAAGGATAACAATGTTTTATATTATAATGGATAGATCGTTAAAATTATAGAGGTTAGAAGTACATAATTTTACGTAAATTAGAACTGTATTGACTTGAATAACCAATAATGTGATGAAAATATTTAAATCATTTTTTTCAGTTGCGGCTCTCAAAGTTTGCCTTTTTCAAATAATAAATCAACCCAGTTTCTGTATTCATCTGTAGTATAATTTAAAAATCCTAATTAGTGGGTATTTAAGTCATTGTCATTTATTCAAGTTAGCCTTTAGGTCATAAAGGTCGTTGGATAGGAATAGGCTCGTTCGTCATGGCACTTGGCTCATTCATATGTGTACTGCCCCACTACATGGTTGCACCTTATCAGTATCAGGGAGCAAAATTTAATGAAACTGAGCACAGCCTGTGTACATACAGGTGCATATTAATTTTACTTGGGATCATTAAATATAACATTATTGTAATGAATTAAGATGAAAAATAAATTTGGAAATGATAAACAAAACGAAACAAAATTTTGTATTGCTTGCGTGATTGATATAGCTAATTTTTAGCTGTAATAAATGTGACTGAAGTCAGAATTAGCTAAGTCAAATAATTAAATAAAGTTATACAAAGTAACTATAATTGAGTATTAGACGTAAAAGGGAACGTAGCATTTGTGAGAGATAAAGGTACATATGAGATACGTATTTTGTGCATGTCTTCATAATTTCCATTTACAGTTGCTAGAAACTTTGTCAGAGACTATCAATTCATGCTGAAATTGGAATTAAATTATTTGTTGAGTGTTTCAGGGAGAACTCAGCTGTAGACTGCTTAAAGCTTCCGTCATCCTCAGCATCTTACTTGAACCCATATTTTCTGATGTTTTTGCTCGGGCAAACTTTGCATGGTATCGGTGCTACTCCGCTTTTTTCTATAGGTACTGCATATCTGGATGAAAATGTTTCTCAGAAGGCGTCACCTGTTTATTTAGGTAACATTTTGTTTTGCTATTTCGTCTGACTGCTTTGGTATAGAGATTATTATTCCATTTCATTCATTATCATTGCTATCGATACCAATACCATCATTCCTTCCATCATTTACCACAGTAACTGTTGATCAGTATGATGATTAGTATAGTTATACAATGATTTTTCCACTAAAATTTGTTGACAGTTATTAACATCATTTGATTGACAGCTTTCGCTATCACAACACTTTTATCATTTCAACCGTCAAATACTATTAATTATGATTAGTTGTTGCAAAAAATATTAATGATAATAGATAGTGAAAATTATCATTAAAAAAATTATTCCATATATCGTAGCGAATTTTTAGCAATTCACTCAGTCGTGACGTCTATTGGACCCGTAATTGGATTATTTGTTGGTGGTTTCTTACTTACTATTTACACGGATTTTGAGCGTGTGGACACGTCAGAGTAAGTTCTAAAACAAAAGATTTCAAAGTAAATCTAGACAACTTTTCTGTGCAGAAAATGAAGAGTTTGAGCTTATTCATTTAAAGTCTTAATTGTCTAAATTGAATAAATAAGAAGCTTTGATGACGCATTCATAGCAAAAAATTACAGACTTTTTAATTTGAGCATCTTCTTTGCATTTTTTGTCGAAAACTCAGTAATAACTTCATGCATAACAAATTACTGAATTTGTTATTTATTGAGAATACTTTGTAAGCAACATTCAGGATAAGGCTTAAAGATTCATCTGATCCTCGGTGGGTTGGTGCATGGTGGCTTGGTTTCTTAGGTTCCTCAATACTTGCTTTCATGACTGCTTTTCCAATTCTGATGTTTGCTCGAGAACTGCCAGAGGCTAAGAAACATCGCTTGAAAGATGTCAATCAAGTATACATTTCTTTAAATCGACTGACTACTTCTTGATTTTTGTCGTTATCATAAATAATTATACGGTAATAACTTTTTAATGTCTAGTACTGCACTCAAAGACACACAAAATTGAAATTTCTTTTATAATCATTGTTTGAAAACGCAGTATCCCACACTTTAACACACTCCAATCTCATCAATTAATATATTCGTATTTTGATGTGGCAAAATTCACGAAGAATGCGCACTCCATCAAAATCTCTTCAATTAAGTTAAAGTTCTCAATGATTAACACATTTATGGTCTTCTTCTATCGAACATTTATGCAATTTTTGGTCACTAATAGCTATGAAAATTCTAGAAAATGCTGCCTTGATCATTTTTTATCAAATCATTGTTGATTAAGAAATTCACAAAGCTTATGACCAACAATCAAACTCTCGATCGGTAAGTTTAAAATTTGAAATCACTGAAAAATCAATGAAGATAATATATATTCGAGTGCTTCTTGAGGTGCACGCTGTATCGCAAATGGATGCTGATAACGATATTATCATAAAAGGAAAGCTGAAATATCTTCCACGTGCTGTTTGGGTAAGTTTAATACAACTTCCCATTTTAAACAGATCAAAGTCAAATTCTGTAACTTGAATTTATGTAAAAATTATTAACCAAAAAAACCGCAGAAAAGATTTATAAAATTTGTGGTCAAGAAGTTAAATAACTAGTGCTAACAGTAAAAAATTGAGTCTCATTTTAACTAACATTAGTATTGCTCTATTTTTGTAATGTTTTCTTAATGCAAGTTATTCAGAAAAATGAATTATACTGAGAAAAATCACCGAGAATGACAATGCAAACAATACAAGCTTGAAAGAACAGCATATCTCTTTTGAAAAATAGAAATAATCAGAGCTCATTGAAATTTTGGATGTGAGAGTTGAAAGCAAAATTCACATACCTGATAAGCTATTTTAAAAAAGCAGAATTTAGTACAAGTCGATTAATTTCAAAAATTGTTGACTTTTGCAGAATATTCTGCGAAACCCTACTTTTGTAACAACAATAGTTCTGGGCATTTTCGAATCGATTGTGATCAATGGATTTGCAGCATTTATGCCAAAAATCTTAGAAGCCATACTTAGCACCACTCCCACCAAAGCTTCTTACCTTTCTTGTTAGTCAATTAATTAATCTGAAAAGTTTTGCACTTATTTCTTTCGAATCTATCTATTTACTTCATTTTTAGTCGGTTTTCTTTTCAAACAGAAAGTTTCAATTTTGATTTAGCTGAGTTTCGTCAATGAAGTGAGAGAATCAAAGTTTTACTCATATATTTATATATTAAAATACTTATTTTTTGCTTCAAAATTACTTTTAAAATAATATTTTACGATATTTTGAAGCAGTACTTTATGAGTAATTCTGAAGCTAAAAATATAAAAATCAGAGAAATAACAGAGTTTGATTGGGTCATTATCCAACTCTTTCAGTGATTATTTTCAGCAATCGTAATATTTGCTGCTGCAGCTGGTGTGATGCTTGGTGGAGCTTTAATACGTCAGTTTAACTTGCAGGTTTTCACTTTGAAACTGACAGATTAAAACTGATTAACTTTGAGAAATGCTGGTTTTTCTTGCCAATCCACATACATTTGACTTCACATCACTTAGACTTAGTCACTGTACATTTTCCACTTTATGTGATGTGATAGCTTGGCTACTGATGATGCATTTAAACTAATAGTAACAATAAATTTACATTTGAAGGACTTCCTCTTGCAGGTCAGTGGAATGCTAAAATTGATATTTATATCTCATTTGATCGCATTGATACTTACGCCATGCTTCCTGATACAATGTCCAGCTCGTGACTTTATTGGAATCAATTTGGGCTACAACAATCAGTAGGACTCAATATCGATTTACGACATTTTAATTAAAATAAATGAAAATGAATTTGAGTCAATAGTTCTGCGATGAAAACGCAAGCTTACTGTTCTTATTATTGTTCAACAAATCAGTTTTGAAAAGTTTAAATCTCTCAGATCCCTTGTTCGTTTTCTTACTGCAAATTCATGATGAAAACAACACCTTGCACTAAAAAATTGATTTCAGACGAATAAAAGGTAATATGGCTAATTTGCATGATACTTGCAATGCTAATTGTTATTGTACAAACAAATGGAATCCCATTTGTCATGAAGGCACGGGCTACACTTTTTATTCAGCTTGCTATGCTGCATGTGCCGATTGGAAGCAAAATGCCACAGTATCCTTTCCATTTTCAGTTTACTTCCCATAAAATTGTTTTGGTCATCAAATGCTTAAATGGAAGTCTTTGAGTGAAATCAATTTTTAAGCCCAAATTTTTATGCTTTCTGAAATAAATAATCAGATACTATCAAATAAGTGTATTTATTGCTTATAAGCTCAAGAGATAAGTTCCGTGTGGTGTAAGTCTGATTTTTGGAAAAATTACGACCACGGGATTAAAATATTTTTTATTATTGCCGTCATACAAATATCATTAAAGCTTTTAGCAATTGTATTTAATTACATTAATTTCTTTCTCCAAATTGTCATTTTCGTTGTTGCGATGCAAAGTTCGATTAGTTTTTGAAAATATTCTATTCACATAACACTTGAGGAGAAATCTAGAAAATAAAAAGTTTTAGGAGTAGACATAAATATATATTGCTAATCTCAGTCTCTATTTAATAACTGCTATTAGCAGCCTTGAAATGGCTAAAATTAGAACTAATTAGGGTACATACTGGGTCAACTGCGCTTGCTTCGATAAGCTGGTGTCGTACACGGCACAGATACAGTACCTCGAGAAGCACTTGAAACAAGGCTTCTGCGAGAAGGAATGTGGCTATGCTCAGTGGCTATTCCTCATACTGCTGTTCTTTTCAGTTGTCGCCAGTTTCGCCACAGGAATCCCATCTCAACAGGTCTTGCTTCTTTCACGCCTACATTAGTTATAATTGGTATTATTTGAGAGTATAATTTGTTGACGCCTACTAATCTGTCCTGTTGATAATATCATTATTGTTGATGCAAACATTCATTGTCATTATGGACTATATATATATATATATATATATATATACAACATTCGCTCCTTTCCGCAGTCATTCTCTCTTTTTATCATTTTCGTTATTATAGTAATACCTTAATTATTGCTATCATTATTACTAGCGGGTGTTTTTCAGTGACAGCACTACCAATAATAATAATACTAATAACAACAATAGTAATAATAATATCCGTATCACTAATAATAATAGTATATAATAATTATGATAGCCGCAAACTATTATTATTATTAAATTATAACTTTTTAATTCCCACCAACTTTTAGTTTTGACGTTCCTTTCTGTTCCAAAATTTTTCACCAAAAGTATGAAAGAAAGAAAAAATTTCGTATTTCATAAAGTGATGGAAAAGTTAATATCATAATTGTTTTTGCTATTATTGTTGCAGTACCAATTTTACAGCATCGTAATTTTCTTCTTTCAAGAGCGTGCAAAAATTGTGTCTCACAGATATTTTGGGCATGAATTGTTGAAAGATTGTTAGGCGAGCAGAACAGAAAAAATTCGATCTTAATTAATTATGAAGGTTGAATAAGCAGAAATTTGTAGCACAGATTACCAAAAAATTGCTGACTCTGTATTTATGTCATTGCTTTCATTGTTGAGATTGCAACCTTTAACTGCAATTGTTCGTATAATGTTTGCGATAAGATTTCAGATTATGCTGCGAGTGGTACCTTTCCAACAGCGAACTTTAGGCATTGGAGTTCACTGGACATTTCTTCGACTTCTAGGTTCTACTACTTAATTTTTTTTAATTCGATTATTACTACTTTTGGTTTCTGCTACAAGCAACAATCTAAGATTAAATTTATGTATTTTCAACCAAATCAACAAAGCAGCACAAATTTATGCAGATTCCAGAAGAACGAATTGTATTTACCTTACAGTTATTCGAAAATGACGCGTAAAAAGTCACACTATTAAATTACAGGCTTTATCCCGGGTGGAGTATTGTTCGGTATGATGATTGATACGGCTTGTCTAAAATGGAAAGAAGAATGCGGGAAACGTCAGTCTTGCTTGGTTTACGATCCATACAAATTGTCTTGGACTATTATGGCTGTTGGTACGAAAATTTATATTGAACTTTTGTATCATTCTCCAGAAAAGTTTCATTTTCATATTGCCATCAACACCAAAGTTTGTATATAACACGCGTGCAATGAAGCTTCATGCGCAGAATTATTAAAAAACGAGCACGTTTATCCAATAATTTGAAACAATAACAATAAAAGTCTTAATATTGTTAGTAAAATATTTCTTATTAGCCACAGTTATTCATTCCAAAATTAAGTAAACGACATAAGCAAAATTATCAAATTTGTTATACTATTGCTTTAGCAACGTTGTCAAAAAGCTAACAATTCATTGCCTTAAAAATACCTCTTGTCTCATTTTCTACCAAAAAGGTTTCATTATGAATATTTTGAATAATAAGTAAGTATTGTCTGCTCTTGTTATTTTAATCTTATATTTGAACAGTTTTTGCATATTTCAGCAGTAGTATGCAAATTAGTTTCAATATTGGCAACAATTCTTGGCTACATAACTTATCGTCCTAATGATATGGATAATAATATATCAGTACAAACGACTGACAGCCGTGGACCGTTGTCACTTACTGTTAATGATGATCGACCACCCGATGAAATGACTAAATCATTTGAGGCTTGCGAGTGAAAAGTCAATAAAATCCTGTAAAATATATACAGGAACGCTGCCATATTGATCTTCATACCGATAATAATCATGAAAGGGACCAGTTTAAAGTATGAGTTATGGTATGTAAAACGAAATATGAAAATTTGTGATATCAGAGTATAATATTTTGTAGTTCGACTGAAAATTTTTCACAAAATACCAAAACTTTCGAAATTAACCACAAGCACAGACTCTTTTAAAGTTCAAAGCATTTTTTTGGAAAGCAAATAGATACTATATATTGTTTTGTAATAAGTAACAGTTTTATATTGGCATGCTAATTTAATTACAAAGTCATAAAATTCTAGCCCTGTGATGCATTCAATAGACGTGCACAGATCGAAATTTTTGAAAGTTGGAACAGATGTTGCTATCACTTATTATATTTCTGTAATGTGTCCAATTTTTTAATGGGAGGAACGATTGCTTCGTTGTAAATAAATTTTATTCCTTAGTCAAGAATGAAATTTTCTGAGCTCAAATTTAATGTGTGCAAATTACTAGCTACAAATGCAGTGAAGATTGGGAGAAAAAAAAACAGTGTATCTTTGTAGTCAATTAATTTGTAATTGGTTGAGCAGAATTTCCTCGCACTACCTAATGGAATCAATTTATGAATTTTTTGATTTTTGAAAAGTATGTGAACTGTCAAAATTGTTTGTTACGGTCATAATAATTACAGTTAAGGAGAGTATTGCCAGGCAGCGTTAAACTTTTCCTCCTTTCTACTAATGCTTTCTATCTCGTTATGCGACATTTTGTCATAAGATTATTTATATATTAAAGATTACGTTAATCAAAAATATAATTGCAGTTACTGTTAAAATGCATAACCAAAAACGTGTAAAGTCATAATACTCCAAAATATGTGCAGGAAATAAACTCTACCTACCAAAAATACGCAAAATTTTGTGTTAAAAAATGCCTATTCTTATACCGTAACATTTTCCAAAATATATAATACATTTTTAATTGCAAAACTTTTTACCACAGCTCTTGTTTAAAGTTTTGTCTGCTTATCATACTCATTTCTACAGTTATTCCAAATTAATATTAATCATTCACTACATGCTTAAGTACTATTTCACTTTTTGCCTTTTCTATCATTTTATAACTTATTGTTTTAATGATGATAAGAGTGACTGATTGTACACAAATATTATGATAACCTTGCAGAATTTGTAAGTAAGTGCACTCGGCATCTCCTGGTCACATCCCTAGGCGTATGTTGTTACGTATTCTATAATGTCGTTCGAATTCAAACCGCATTAATTGTGATTTAGTTATTAGCTTTTACTGTTTTGATCGAAATGGGACTGATTAATTGAAATAATTAAAATAATTAAAATGAATAGTCTAACATTAATATTAATGCATGCAAAAATTCATAACAAATGAGTGATTTTGAAATTTTTACACGAGAAATTACTCGAAATGAAATTCAAAATTGTTCTCAAAGACATACTTTCATTACGTATTTTTTCACTTATAAAGTGACACAGTACTCAGTAAACGATTTGCAAGCAATTTTTACTTTTGATGATATGAATTCTGCGCCGCTTGCTTGACGCTCTCCACTATAAATACATTGCAAGGCATCATTCGCAGCAACCAAAAAGATAAATAGCACTAAAGTTCTGAGCAACATATTTTTGCTGCTAGAAAATGTTTGAATAAAAAATGTACCAACAACTGAATTCAAAATCGATTGCTTAGTCTTGATCATTTATGAACATTTTTGCAACAGTCCAGAAAATACCAAAATATATTCGCATAAATTCCCAGAAGTTAGTTGGTTGCTCTAAACACATCACCAAAAAATTAGCTTTTTTGAGCTAACATAAATCTCTTTTAATCTAATCAGTTTTTAAATTCACTTTCAGTCATATGTGACGATTCTTTTTAAGTAATCAACAGTTAATGTAAAAAGTCAAATAATACCATACTATACTACTTATTCTTCAATTATGCTAAAGTATTTTGGTGCACACCATTTCTACACACATCTATATTCAATCTTGCATATTTTTCAATTTATGTGAGTGTCACTGATAACATAATTGCAGTTGATAATGAAGTTGAGAGAATTTTATTGCATGTTAATACAATTGAATCTTGTCAATTGATATTAAATATTGATTATATAATGCTGTGCACTGAATATTAATGTATAATTATTTATTCCCCAACCTCAACTATTACAGATTTGTTGAATTAAATATGAAAGATGTTAGTGGTACTTTGCCCTGAATATACTTTCTGGAAAACTGATACCAGACTTCTCAATTTGCAAACTTAGATTTTAATTATTTAAAAAACCTTAAAATTGGAAGTTGCTGTTTCGAAAATTTTTGAATTACTGGCAAGAAAAGTTATAAACAAACTGTTAATCTGAAATTTGTAATATTCAAGTCATCAGAAAGTAAAGAGTGGAGCATCGGAATTAACTGATACAAATGAGTAATAATTTCTTGTTTAAACTTTTAGTTCTAAAATTTAAGGACTTTGAAATCATACTGTTCATCACAGTAAGTGAAGGAAAAGCAAGATGAGGAATCGAGTTTACATTAAAATAACTGATCGATCGCATATATGTGTATAGAAACACTTAAGTGAACGTGAACATATTTATAGTTTGCGTGAGTAAACATGTGCAGTGAGCGGTAAACACCAATACAATGTGCTTGCATTGACGAAAGAATTAAAATAGAAATAAAATTGTGCTACAGAATGAAATATTATGCCAACTAACTGCTGAGGTAAACAAGCGGTGGAAGTAAAATCAAGCAAGGAATAATTTCGAGTTTGGTCGGTGCTTCGCTGCGCACTTTTTGCGTTTACATACATTACTGCTGATGTCCTCCTCTCACTTGCAACACAATTCGCCCACATTAAATTATTCATTCTACTTACAAAGTGCGTTTCATTCATTTAAGATAAAGGCAAGAAATTAAAATTATTTACTTTCTGACAACTGAAAGATTGATCCTTTACTACTCTGCATGTACCTTAAATTGTGAAACTTTAAACTACAAAATTACAAAAATGTTTGGTCTGACTAGCATTTACCGGACTTGTGATCGTAACCCTACTAGCATCTGACCAATGACTACGCAGTTTGCTGCGTTAATTTTATTGTTCACGAAATTCATGAAATTCTAGTATGAGTGGTGGCAAACACATCTCATTACCTTTTCAATAATTAAGTTTGGAGCCTTTATTTTCATAACGACAGACCCATCACAAAGATTATTTTGCATCTTTAAGCAAACAAATGCATGTGGTTGCTGATTTATACACGGAAATTAGTAATGATTGGCTGTGTCACTTCTTAAAATATACAGTTGTGTGCATTTTATGGTTTCTATTAAAGCTATGATATTTAGTCAGTTATAACTGCCACATTTGTCCACTTATAATTCACAATTTAGCAGTTGAAAATGGCTTAAAATGCTGTTGGCGCGCAACTTTTACTTTAAATTTGTCTTACTTATTGAGTTAAATTCACTAGCGTTATCAAAAATATGGGTGAAAGAACAGAAACTGCGCAGACTGCTTAGCATTGATAAATTAAAGTTAATTCCAATCATAAATGTCCTTTGCTTTGGCAGGTTGTAGACCAGTGACAAAATGTTGCTGCTTGTGACTTGTGGGCATTTTTCTCATCTTAGTGGTATTACTAAAAACGGTATATTAAATCACTTAAGAATGCAGGGAAGAAAAATAAATTATTCAATAAATTTTGCTAGAAATTAAATGACATGGTTTGATTTCTGAACAAAAATTGACTAAACTTTGAACAATGCAAAGCCTGAAATTTTAAAATTTAGAGAATTTAAATTACATTTACACAACAAGTAAGGAAATCAGGTCGAAGTCAATAAGCTAATAAAATGTCAGTGGTTGGAACCAGAACTGCTGACTGCAGACTATCACTTGATTTTTTGGCGTCATCAATCGATTAACTGAAAGTTTAATCAGCCGGATATTGCCATTTAACTGAGGCAAACAAGCGAATCTGACTAGTCACCTTCAGATAAATATCAGTCAGATTTTTAACAGCTGATACATGACTTCGGTCTGCAAACTGAAACATTTTATCGAACACACTTTAATCAGGCAATTTCATAGTCAGGAACTGACAAAAAGATGTAGATTGATATCGTGAAAGCTAGACACCACTGACAGAGTGATAACAGATCTTCAATGTAATCACTTATTTTGATATGCTGCCCATTTGCTCACTGAGATAAGATAATAAAATCAAAAAAATGTGTTGAAATGGAGCAACCCAATTCGAGTGTCGACAGTAAAGTAAGATACGATGATGTGATTACATAACAATAGGAGTGAGTAAACAGAGTACGATAATCAATCAATCAATCAATCGTTGATATGGCTAGCACAGATGGCATAATTATGGCAGTGTGCACAAGCAGAAATTATTCGGCAGTGCGTGCACTTGAACTGAATGAATATTTTAGGATTATGTGACTAGAAACTACAAATATAAATAATTGTTTATTACATTTCATCTTACTTATTCTACTCCTTTCTTTCTACCTGATTCTGATTCATCTAATTTTTGCTCTCTCACTGAAATTCTTTCATGACTTCATGACTGATTCTTTGCTCAAATTTTGTGTTTTCCACTCATCTACCCACTGAGACTCATCCTAATTTCTTTTTCAGATTAAGATTCCTAATTGTGCAATTCTTTGCCAAGCTAGACTGGATTCTCAGATGTTTCCATAATACCGCTACTAGTTTTTATGAAACGTCAAATTATATGCACATCAACTTAAACATCCCATAGTAACAGATAGATACAAGAGATTTCTCGCCCCTTTCTACTGCAAACATTACTGTAAGGAGTTATAAAGTCTAGTTTTACAGTAGTTTTACATATTTTTTAAAATATTTTCGTAAAATCAAAATGCAATAAGTATTCAGTCTTACAGAATATTTTTTAAAAAAGTAATGCATTCGTCATTATTTTCATCGTTATTTATGGAATTGCAGTATTTACCGTTGATATTAATAAAAAATACATTTGTATTCAATGGATCTAGTAGAAGTTTATAAATGCAAGCAACATAATTAAACTAGCAAACAGTGCTGTCGCTTGATTTGACTTGTTTGCTGCAGCGGAAAAAGGTGGATGATATGGTGTATAAGATGTGGGAGTTGGTGGTACAGTAGTGCTAAAGCCTGGAGTGCAGCAACATATACCATTTCCATCCGGACAAGGCTGCAAATTCGGTAGCTGCCAAAAATTTCTAGTATTCGTATACGTTAGCAATATTGCGCCAATAACATTCATGAGTATCAACATTAATACTGTCATAGCTGTTTTTTTATTGATTGTCATCACTATCAATACTATGTACCAATGATGTAATATTATTATCATTAATCAGTAATTATTATTATTGATAGTAATTTACAAAAATAATATTAACATTGATAAATGTTAGTGATTATTATCAATGACAATAATATTAAAAAAATATTATTATTATTATTATTACATCTGCAAATTAGCACAGTTTTTAGCACTTTTCTTTTTAATAATAGTAATAAACTTTTGCTGTTTTAATATTTCTTTATTACCATGTAGGTTGTACATACCTGATAATTTTCAGCTGAAGAAATTAAATTTCTAAAGTGATTGCAAACTTACAGCACAACATTGCATACTAATTCTTGGTTGCTGCATACTATAAACTGATGGTTGCATTGGTAAAAGACTATACAGCATGTGTTGGTAATGTTGCAGTGGTGGCGATAGATCCATCGTAAACGTAGGGTACTGAAAATGAGGTATGGGAAACTGTTGTATGGAAGGTACCAAAAGGCCAATTCCTGAATGAGCGAGCATACCCCCAGTACCAGGACTGATAGCAGTTCCTGTACCACTGCTTGAACTAATCAGTCCTCCATTAGTACCACTGAGCACTGAACCAGCGAACATTCCACCACAGCCTTAGGTTGAATACAAATGAAAGTGAATAATTTTATGAAGGTTGGACTTGAAATTTCAAGTACAGTAGCAAATCGTACATAGCATTGTTACTATTATCAGACTATTACTGCATCTCAAACTGTACGGGAAGTCAGGGTTCATATGAAACTGTAAAAGTGAAGATCACAAAACTCGAATATCGTTTCAAATTTGAGGAAATTTTGTAACTTGAATGCAGTAGTGATACCTGTCACTGAAGGTGTTAATACATTGATTGTGCTGATACCTGTAACTCGATACCCATTTTGTGAGCTTATCACATATTTGCTTTCTTTTTTGTTATCGGCTATGGTACATTGGCAACATACTTTTGAATTTTTGTTATTATCAACCATTATTGGTAGTGCTTTACTTACTGCAAGTACAATGGAAAATACCAGCATACAGTATCCTAGCAACATGATTATCGTTACCCTGAAATGAGTAGTTTCAAAATTGAAAATGTAGCTTACAAGCAACAAAACTTTTGCATGCAACTGCATTGATAGATAGGTGTATCAAAAAGTGATTTAAGAATTATTATCTTTCAGTTCTAATAAGTTGCGTTCTTAAGACCTTAGACTATGAAATTTATATTTCACATGATTAGAACACAGTGGAAGTTTCGCTCACTCTTGTAAATGAAATATGGTAAACAGAAAATTGTTTGCTAGTCTCTTGAGCTGCAAGTAAATTCGCGCAGAACAGAAGTGAATTATGAACGCATCTCAAATATGCAATCCAAATTCATTTGATATTATTTAAAGCTGTTCAGAATGATTAACAAGCAGTATAAGTCTCAATATCAGTGCATTTTTGTCATTTCATTCATTCAGCAAACACTACACTTCGTAATAAAAAATACCTTCATAATCATCATAACTAGGTCAATTTCCGTGTACTGATTAACTACTTTTTATATGAATAAGTTTTTGGCAGCACAGATTTTTGCAGTTCTTAATTTTTATTCTAATGCTAAACATATTTGGCTTTTATTCCAATCATTCCTTATGAACTGTGAGCCTACCGTACTTCCATTTAAAGCAAGAATTCAGGTAAGTAAAGTCTTTTTTCTCCTTTGATGATAATTATTGCAACTTGAATGATTTTCGTATTTTAGAAGCATTTAACTAATTGCGAATGAAACAATAATAATAATAATAATAATAAATAGCGAACAACAATAGAAAAAGCTTAAAAAAACTGAGCAGAAGTGACCAGTTGCTAATAAACAAAACTTAATCAACAAAGCAAAAGTTAAGAAAAGCATGATACATGAAATTTGTGGAAGTAGAGAAGACGTCTACTGACGTAGTATGCAGTAGCTTGGAAAGACAACTCACGTAAAATGTCCAAAGCATATGAATGAGAAAAATGCGAAGAAGCTTTTCATTATGACTTTAAAAATGTGAATTGCAAAGTTCCTACTGAATCTTTCAATTGAATTGCTCCTTGGCAACAAAAAGTATGTAAAAGAAAGCGATTTTTTTTTTGAAAAATGAAAATTTTTGTAGTATTCATTTATTTATTTTATTATTTGAACTGATTCACTTGCTCATTGCTTTCTATCTGCAAACTCAAACAAAAACGTTACAAATGTTTGACTGATGACGAGATGAGAACGACTGCCTGCAATGCCGTAATGTTACGCTTTCTTAGTAATGAATGTTTCGCTTTCAGGAAAAATCGTAATTCATTTCTGATCTTTTTTTGGTCGAATTGCGATTATAACGATTCATTATTGGATCGATAGTCTCTGATTCATTGCATTTAATAATTTTTTCACAGTTCGTTACATAAATGACAGAAAAACTTCCACTAAAATCAGAATTAAAAAATTGCTTAATTATTCACTTTAATTGAAAAACCTCAGACTTGATTTCAAGCTATCACATAACTACGAAAGTGATATACCGAAAATTTACGAAAGTAATTTCTGGAACTGTTCAAGGTAAAATAGTGGCGTATGAATGAATAATAGGAAAACATTTCCAGTTAAATTTGTCTAAAATGACATAGTCCCTTTTTTCTCACTTATAATCATTTAGTGTATGTAAAAATGCAGCAGAAATAGTTTTGAGAAGCTCAGACTACAAAAATCTTTGAACGCATTTTCAAAAATGATAGAAATATGAAAAATATAAAACTCGTAAATCCCTGAGTGACATACTCATTTTAGGAAAGAAATTCTTACTAAAAATACTAAGGTAAGTGGAAAAATTAATTTCGTTGATCCGAAATGCATAATTAGAGACTATTTCTAACAAATAGCATCTATCTATATTTGGGTATGATTCCGTTTCAGTCAGACAGATCCATTCAATTCTAGATGCTGTCATTAGTTATTACCCAAATTATCGAAGGTATTCTTAAAATCGAATCGAGTTTGTGACAGAACTAAAAAACTTTCAATTTCAATTTTTCACGCCCAAAAAAGCAAAATTTTTGCAGTAATTTCGAAGCATAAAATTCGAGTTTCTAACATATTTAAATATTTTGTCATGTTAGCTTTTGAGTATTAACCACACGCGTAATCAAAGTTAATATCCACTTCGTGATGAAAATGTGCAAATTACAGAGAAATGATTCTTACTTTTGAACAGATACGAAAAGAGAATGAATAGAAAATGCAAGGAGAATACTGAGAAGGAAGGATTGTACTGAGCAGAAGAAACCTTGATAAAACGGTGGTATCAAGTTAGCAAACCGAAACCTCACTCAACTGCTGAAAGTGAAAGTTTCAAATGAAAGCACGGAGAAAGAGCTCTCGCCATAACTTGGTGCATGATTAAAAATAAAAGTTCCGGCAAAAAGATTTTCTTGACTTCGTCCGAGTCAAGAAACTGCAATCTAATTTTTCAGATTGACAAAAAATTTTAGCTCTAAGCTTTACTTTACTTCATAAGCCATAATCTATCACATTCGCGCATCATTTGCACCGAAAATTTATCGTGTATATATTTAAAAATGTTTCAAACATAAGTTGCAAATATGCTGTGTATTATAGAGTGCAAATTGCAGTCATTTGAATGAATGGAACCGCAATCTCCATAAATTACTGCTCTGTACTCAGTGCTGTCAATGGGTTAACCACAGATCATTTCATCTCGGAGTAGCAATGTTGTAATGGAAAAATGATTGCTCTCAAGGTGCCGAACAACTACAACCTTACGAGTGAAATACTTCTTTCTTGATATCCGCACGTTTTCACAACGCCCCACATGGTGTGGGTTTCTCTCTGCCACACTTTTGTTTATTTGAAGCACTTTTCCTTTGGTCTGTCAAATTTCTAATTTTTGAACATTGACAGCAGAAATTTGTCTTACGGCACTGTGACCCGTTTTACCATCTAATGTTTCATAGACTTTGTTCTTATGTTGGCTTTCTTTTAGTAAGCATCGGTTGTCGATAACACTTCAGAAACGTTTTACTTACTAACGGTTCCTCTTAAGGTTTTTCAAAACTTCCAATAAAGTGCATTTAATGTACTTTTGGATCCCAAGAAATTTAGTCTTATTCTATTCAAGATAATAACGGTATCTCATTCAATTTTTTAAAATTGACGAAAAAATTGAGCCTAAGTTTTAAATAACTGCTGACTTCAATAATTCGAAAAGAATTTTTGTTCTTCGGTGGTAATTATGAATTAAATTTAGAATAATGGTTTCTGATTTATATTTACTTAGTATTGAAATTCAAGTGCTACATTTTGAGGCATATCTAATATAATCATATTTATCTTGAATTCACCTTCGAAAATATAAAATCATTTTCATATTTAAACAGATTAGAACTTGACAATGACCGCAAATGGTGCATGGTCTGGTGCAAGAATAATAAATTTGGATGCGCAGCGTATGCGAAAAGCATCGTTATCATTGTCCGGATGCGGATTTCTCTGCATTTACCATGCTGGTGTTTGTGCAGCCATTAAGGAATATGCACCGCATTTACTGAAAAACCAAATTTCCGGTGCTTCCGCAGGTTCCATAATTGCAGCTGGTATAGTTTGTGATGTTTGCATCTCTCAGGCAACAAGTTTTTTCCTGAGCGTCGTGTCTGAGGTTTTTTGTTATCAGTTCTATCTTAGCATTTGAATTCTAGTTTTTGACTCAAGTTTATAAGAAGTGCATAAATTATATACAAACTAATTGTTTTTAATTCTGATTATTGCTGATTTTTCGATATGCTGCGTACTTTCAGGCACGTTCATATACATTTGGTGCTTTGAATCGAGATTTCGATCTTATGAAATTAGTTCGAACAAAGTTGAATGTTATTTTGCCTGCTAATGCCCATGAACTTTGTACGGGTCGACTGCGAATTTCAGTAACTCGTTTGCGCGATATGCAGAATGTGATTTTGGAGGAGTTTTGCTCCAAGGAAGAAGTCATTGATGTATTTTTTGCATTATTTCGTAAAAAATTTAGTAGAAGGAATTGAGTATGGCAGTACTTTTGAGAACATTATATATATATATATATATATATATATATA